ACTACACGAAGCTCAATGGGACCCACCGTCAGTACCTTACACGGTACATCGGCTGGAGCAAGCGGAAACGCTCAGACCGCCCCCTGTCCTATGCCCAGGCCCTCATCCAGGCAGGCTGCGAGGAAACCATCGAGGCCACCGTGCGCAAACGGAGACTGTCTTTCGCGGGCTTTGTTATGCGCATGGAGGACAACCGCTTCCCCAGGCGCATGCTGTTAGGAGCGATGGCGGGGGGCGTGGGATACCGGGGCGGGCAGGAGAGCGACTGGGTGTCTCGTCTAGGAGAGGACCTCGTGGCCTTCAACATGGGAGACGAAAAGGATGGAAAGAGAGCGCCAAGGACCCGGAGGTGTGGTACAACAAGGTCGACGACGGGGCGGCATGGTTCATGAGGAAATCGCACAGGCAGGAGGCGGAAGCGTCCGCGAAGCGCCAGCGCGCGAGGGAAGCAGAAGCAGAGAGTACGGCCATGTCAGGACCGAAGAGAAAGAGAGTCGGGGAAGCGGCGGTGGGGGGGAAGAAACGGCCATCGGGCACTGCTGTAGAAGCAAGTAGGGCGGCCGAGGCAGCACTTGTGGCGAACTATATATATTTTTTTTCTCCCATCATTGGACTCTGTCGCCTGCCCCTCTGGCCCCTATCCTCCACTTCTACCAGCTAGACGACCCAACCAGAGTCTCATAGGATGGGGTCCAACCCCCTCCTGCGGTTCCTGCCTGAGACCTTTTTATCGCGAGAAGGGTGCAGCAATTCCTTCCCTCGCGACTTATGAAGTCGATCAAGTTTACTAACAANATATATTTTTTTTCTCCCATCATTGGACTCTGTCGCCTGCCCCTCTGGCCCCTATCCTCCACTTCTACCAGCTAGACGACCCAACCAGAGTCTCATAGGATGGGGTCCAACCCCCTCCTGCGGTTCCTGCCTGAGACCTTTTTATCGCGAGAAGGGTGCAGCAATTCCTTCCCTCGCGACTTATGAAGTCGATCAAGTTTACTAACAACGAGCTTTGCAGCGCGTCGCTTCCAACGGAGAACAGGATTTAATTAGCGAGAAAAAACTCACTCTGTCGGGACTTGGACCCATGACCTGGCCCTTAGCAGGCTGCGAGGCTACCCACTAGACCACCGGGGCGACCGGTGGTGTCCTATGTACCCGGCTGATCTTGTTGCGCCCTGTTTCCCTCTTTGCTGTATGCTATACGACTTTATGTATGTCCTATGCATTGCCTTGGGCCTCTGTGCTGTGATTCTTTTTTTCATGTCCTCCCTGCCTACTCTGCCGTGTTGGGTAGCTTGATCTCGCTTTCGCTGTTGCTTTGTTTTTCAACATCTGGCTGTCTGCTCATCTGTCGCCTGTTTGTCCTGTTTGCTCCGTTACTTCCATGCCCTGGTACGTAGTGCCTGGTGCTGGTACGTTACCCTTGATTTTTTCCTTAAGCGGGTGTGGGAAGCGTCCTCCTTTTTTTTATTGTATTTGATTTTTTTGCTTAAGATGACACAACGAATCCATCTCTTATCTCAAAAAAGAGCCAAAGACAGATAAGCAATGAATCCATAGCGTCAGTGAAGGCTACCCGTGTTTCCACGATTTCCCGATCAGCATACAGCGACATCTCCCCCGTGGGTAACAGGGTCAACAATACAGTGTGGTAGCCGTTTTGTTCATCTATCTGCATGTTATGCTGGGAATGTACGGAAGGAAAGAGTTGGGTAGTTGGTTTGTGGGGTGTGTTGTCGGTGGGGAACTGTTCCAAGTTTGAGGTGTGCGTGTATGGTATAATTACTGTTGTACGGCGTAGTGAGGCACGGGAGAACATTTTTACTCCTTCCGTGTTGTGCTGACGTGGGGTGTATTGATTGGTGCAGCCAGAGTGTCATCTTTGGATGGGTATGGCGTGGGTCGGACGTATGTGGGGTGTATCGAGGTAATATGTAGTTTGTTTTTGTTTGATTGTGATCAATTCCGAGGGCTCTTTTCTCGAACGGTCGGTGCGGTAGCTGTTCTTTCTCTTTCTGTCATTTTTTTTTTTCTTAATATCACACAACAAATCCATCTCTATAGAAATAAGTCTAAGATAGATTCGCAATGAATCCATAGCGTGAGCGAAAGGCTACCTTTATGTCTACGTCAGCATACAACGATAACTCCCCTGTGGGTAACAGGCTCAACAAGGCAGTTTGGTAGCCATCTTGTGTATCTATCTGTATGTTATGTTGGGAAGTTGTGGACGGAAGATTTAGGGGAACTCGTGTCATTTTTTTTTCTTCATAATATCACACAACAAATCCATCTCTATCTATAGAAATAAGTCTTGAGGTAGATCAGCGATGAATCCACAGCGTGAGCGAAAGGCTACCTGTATGTCTACGGTTTCCCAGACAGCATACAGCGATTTCTTTTTCCGAGTGGTTTGTATTTTTTTTTTTTCCCGCGGCGTCGTATGTGCCGGGTTTTGAGACCACGGGCTACCCATTTTTGTTTTTGTTTTTTCTTAATATGACACGAGTCCATCTCTATCATAGAAAAGAGTCAGAGACAGATTATCAATGGAATCATAGCGTCAGAGAAAACTACCTGTGTGTCTACGATTTCCCAGACAGTATATAGTTTGTGGACTTATGAAGCAACAAAAACAACACGCACAGATCCGCCGCTTCAACGGGTGTGTTCAATTGTTCAAACTGAACGAATTTTCCAAACTCAAACATACAACTGACCATGATAGAGCAACATGAATCGAAATCGACTGGTCGGACAAATGGCATCGCACTTTGCGAGCTCTTTCTGAAAAGAAAAGACGGGGTCCTTTGGCGTAACGGGTGCTTGGGGCAAATCTGGACATTGCTTCCCCTTTGCTTTTTGGGTCCAGCACTGCACGCGACACGCTTGGTGGTCACACACAAGCATCAGCAGACAATGAACAAGACGAATGGATCCCGAGGTGTCATTGCTTGCTGCTCGCGAACTGGACCGGGGAAATAGAAACGTGGTCGAGGGTCCAGTCTTCGTGTGAATGACAGTAGCGCTGTCGGTGCAGAAGCAGAGAACCTGAGATACGATTGCCTGTCGCTTTCTCTAAATCAGCGGCGGCAACGCAGGACGTGTTTTCTGGCTTGAACTGACTGCTTTGCTACAAACGGCAACAGCAGCGTATGGCGATGGCTTGTGTACATGACAAAGGCGATGCGCGAAACACAGGAGGAGCGGGTAGTCTTTCTCTGTAAGTAGACTATGCACAGGAGGAGTGCAAGAAACTCGACGCCTCCCCCGAGATAACTGACCCAACGAGCTGGGGCCACTGTGAATGAATAGGCTTCGTTCCTGCAGCAACACACCGCCCCCACACTCTGGCGCTCGCCAACGGGTAAAGCGCCTTTTAGACAAAATCCATTCCTCAACGGCGCAGGAGATGGATACGAGAAACGGAACAAATTCCTACGGGCAGACAGGCGGGCAGGAGCAGCCGCTGGTGGCGGAAGATACGCGATACACACACGTCCGCCGCTGCAAAACAAGTCAGAGCAGGCACAAGGGTACCGACAACGGCCGCCATCTCACCCGTCTTGCCCTCCGCGCAGATTGATGTCCGTACCCGGCATGGGGGGCACACCCTCATCGTTCAGGGTGGGTGGCCTGTCCGCGAAGAAGGCAAACAGAAAACAGACACAAACTACGATCGCCACAAATTTCACGTACTGCCGGTTGGACACCTGGGGGTAGGCCGAACTCGCCCTCATGTTGTCGGTGTAGACCTCTTGGTTATCGGCTTGCGAGGTTGGCGGGTTGAGGGAGGGGAGGGCGATGACGCGACGGAAGGGCGCCTGGGTTGGGCCGCTGTCTGCTAGCCGAGGAATCTACGGTCGAGTCTACCAGTACGATCGTAGATGCCGGTACAATCTCCGCTCAGCTCGGAGGCCTTTCGTCCGCCACTCGGCCGCCCTCTATTGTTATTATTTCCTTGTAGCACATTGACATTGGCGTTGCATCCAGCACTGAGCTACACCTTCATTTACTTCACCACGCTCTTGTAGGCGTTTTGGCAGACACAGAAAGGGACAACGACATGTCGGTAAGCCTTGAGAACGCGTCGAAACCAGCAAAGCGGTTTGAGTATTAAGCACCACCCCCCCGTCCTCTCCTGGTTGTCTCTTCTGCCTCCGTCGCCCCCCCTACGCCGCACTCCAACCAATTGACGACAACTGCTGCTGCGTACGTTGCCTCTTCTCCTGTTGCTGGTGTGGCTCTGTTTTTCGAATATTGCTATGCATACCCACATGCAGGACAGCGATTTCGGCGCCGTGTCTTTGTACGCCGGTTTCTTGGATATCACCGACGAGGCATGGACAACAGCAGATCTCTCAGATGACGGTGAGAACTGCTGTTGCTGTCGGAGATCATTTGGCTGCTTCTACATTGGTGGGGCCCCGGTTTGGCGAACCCCGTGTAGCGACCACAAAATATCGTGATACCGCTACAATCAACATTCTCTGACTGAACTATTACCACCGGGACGACCGTAGGTTACACAAGATGCCACACCCCTTGGACTGATTTTCAAAGACCCATCATGTACTCCACAAGCTCCAAGCAGTGGAAAGAGTGGCGGTGCCGAAATGGCGGCGTTGGAACCGCCTCGTCGAGATCTTCCCAAAACAAATCTCTCTTGAGGTTGACATCATCTTCGTCGTGGAGTAGTCGAACTGTGAAAATCGGTCCAGGGGGTGTGCTATCTTGTGTCACCTACGGTAGGCAGCGGACCCGTACGCAGAGCAACATATTTTGATATTTTTTAGAGCGGTGGCCAATGGCCAAATCGGGTACAACCGGTCCAACCGCTGCCATAATCGGGTACCCCTACAAAGGAGCGGACGCATGACATCATCTGATTGACCGACACCCACCCAAACCCGACCATGACTGTCTTTCCACCGGTGCACCCGATCTTAGCTGCTCACCCCCTGGAGGGGTACCCGATTTTCCTTTTCCCTACCCGAAAATGGCTGGGCTGTTCGACCAAAATCAATCACACAATTAGGGTCGGACACACACACCGCCGACCGCTCGCAGAGAGCATCATGATGTTTATTTGCGTATCGTGTGTGTCGCATCTCGTGAGTGAGCGATCCATCCAGCTCTTCTTGATCATTTACAACCAAGCGAGAGTTCCACCGCCGGCGGTGGGTCCGCCTCTGCCAGCCGTCGGAACGTCCGAATTGGAGGGCAGGGGCTGTTGCTGATATGTGCATGTGTGCATGGGTTTCGGCCGAACAGCCCAGCCATTTTCGGGCAGGGGAAAGAAAAACCGGGTAACCCTCCTGGGGGTGAGTAGCCAAGATCGGGTGCACCCGGTGGAAAGACGGTCAAGGTTGGGTAGGGGCTGGCGTCGGCCAATCAGATGGTGTCATGCGGTCGCTCCCAGCAGCATCTTGTAGGGGTACCGGGTGTACCCTATTTGGCCACTGATCTATTGGTAAGACGCGGAGCAACTCCAAATGAGGGGTAGAACCGGGTAGATATTGTTCCCGTTTCCCACCAATCACACGTCGACTTATTGCGTCATTTCGTATGACGGAGGCAGGTGATGGGCGATGGGCACGACGCTCGGGAAGAATCCCCGAAATCCTCTTCTTGAAAGACGTAGCACAGCAGCAGCACACGTAGATAACATATCTACGAGACAACGAGCACAGTCCACACGAGAATGCTGTAGGCCAAGGGCAGCCAAAGACACACATCATGGGAGGCGTCGGGTGCGACTCTTGCAGCCCTTTGCCTACTGACGGCAGCACAATCAAGCGAGGGACGGCACAAGTCAATCTGTGGTCTGTCTTCACATGCAGGCCGATATTTGGAGATTCCCATACAGACGCACCCCAAACAGAGAAAACAAGATGTACATACTGCTGAAGGAAACGGCGGCCAAATACACACATCATACATAGGAGACGTCGGGAGCGATTTTTAGAGCTCGTTGCTCGCTGCTAGCAGCGTGAAGCGAGTAAAGTAAGTGTACATCCATGTAGCAGCAGCAGCTGATAATGATGATATGATAGCTTGTCCACACCAAACGGCGCTCTCATTCATCCCGAGCTGCTAGATAGCAGACATCTGATTGAATGGTGGTGTCGGGTGAGGTGTGAGCGTGTGCAGTGGTGCCGCTGTGATGGCGTAGGCTCCATCCCCACATCTATCGACGCTTGGTTTCTTGCCTCTCTCGATCCCTTCTTTTCGCGCTTCGCGCGATTTTTTTTAGTTGTTTATGTTAGACCCCTATGTTTGGGAGAGGTGAGCCTGTTAAAGATGCGAACACTACAACGGTGACCGGCAGGACCACCCTCGGCCAGCCGACTACAAAGTAGCAATCTACCCCGCGGCTACCCGCATAAGAAATCCTGCGTCATTCAGGCAGCGCCTACGATATTGTCGCGTTAATTCATCACAAGTTTTGCACAGAGTGCGCGGCGTTCTATCTTCGCAAGGCAACGTGTTGTTCATCGCAGCAAACGCGGCGAAACCAGGGCGACACGGGGTGTATCGGAGATCGGAGATGACGTGTACAAATGTGTACCATATGGTACGAGTGAGGTTAAGCATTACCGATACACGCACGTAACGGAAAAGAAGTCGGTAGAGCCGAGGGGGTTGTTTTACCTTGGGGAGTGTTAACAAATGTGTTCCACGATGCCAGCAGGCGCGGTTTTGTTTTCATCATGCACGTGGCGAAAAAGATCATCCAAAACCTGCAGAGGAAGAGCACGGTAGGCGTTCAGTGACTTCAGATTGGTTCTGATGTTAAGGCGAACGATGTTTGGGTGTTGCAACTCGGGACGAAAGCATACCAGAAATTATAGGGTAGATACCTGGACGGGCTAAGCAAGCTCTCCGTGTACATCAAAGGTGGACGGCACCGTTCAGGCACACTTCGTGCCGAGTATTGTGTCTTGATCTTGTGCAGCGCGCGGTGATAATAGGGGACCAGGAGAGACACACGAGCTTCTGGTAAAAGGTCAAAACGTCACAACATAATATTCTGCAGTACACGAAGTTTGCGTGGGCGGTGCCGTGGGTTGGTGGTTTGTTTGTGTACCCCGTGACCACCCACGAAGGTTGCCGTACCCACCCACGAAGGATATCGTGCCCACCCACGGTATGAAGTATGTCTGGGGACTATGTTAACCCAGAGGAACGATGCAGATGATGTAGAACCTTAATTAACACACACATGCTCTTCCAGCACGGACCGAAGTCAGCACAGGTCCTGTTTCAGTGAACACATGTGTGGGCCCTCACGAGGGGCCCCGCACTTGGAACCCCCTACAGCATCCCACCCACACACATATTCTGCAGATCGGATTTTGTCTTTAAGTACCCCAAACATGGTTGGTACCTCCTCGAGCACGTACTCGACGTGAAGAGCGCGTGCAGGAGGAGGTGCCAATCACCGATCCACGGCACCGGCCATGCAAACTCCATGTAGGGTACTGTGTTTTGAACCGCAGCGCGCGGTGATAGTAGGGGATCAGGAGACACACGAGCTGTTGCACACGGTCAAAACGTCAAAACGCGCTATTCTATACGAGTCTACGTGGGCGCCGCCGTGGATCGGTGTTTGGCACCTCCTAGAGTACTGTATGTTGACCTTGTGGTGAAACACGTGTCACCGCGCGTTGCCTCCCACCTTTAACGCCCACATGGAAGTTCTTTTTTTACAGCCCGTGCAGGTATTGTGTGTATTTTTCTGGCGATATTTTAGAACGAGTTGCACCACACCGAGATAGCTCGCCAAACCATCAAGGCCGACCTGGTTATCCTCACCGCCCATCATGATCTTGCTTGGAACATCGTGGATTATTTTCCTTTCGCCACGCGTGTGCCAAAGTCCGCATCGGCTGTGTTCTACTTGGAGCACGTCTTTTGAGCGCGCATGTCAAAACCTGCAACGGGAACCTGCCCAAAGACGTCCTAACCCCGTGAATGGTCCTTCCCGAACTCAAGAATAAAGTCTCCGACGGTCGGACGGAAGCCTTGTCACCGTCCCAACAGCGCGAAATACGCCAGGCCGCCATTCAATCGACGTGCACGCCCTTTCCCCATTTTCTCAACGTCCAGATTGAGGGTTTCGAAACCACAGTCCACTCGCGCCTCCGAAAGAGCGACCCGATCCAACATGTCGTTATTGGTACTTTGCCGAGGTTGCCTGCCAGTCGGTCTGGGTGTCCTTGAGGTTCTACTCCAATAATCCCACCCCCCTGTTCGATTTCTCTGCCTCTTCCGGAGGACTACCATCACACTAGCGTTGTTGTACCACGTGTTGACCATGCAGGGCATCAGTGTTGACGCCGTTTCTGTTCAACTCGTGGTAAAAAAACGCTTATGTGATGGTCGTCCTCCGAAAGGGCGAGGGAATTCAAAGAGAAGCGTCAGCTTTTCGGGCGAGAATCTTCAGGAAAACAGGACGTCGATACTCCAGATATGAGGGTTTTGCGGCTAACACGCCCCTTGTCGTTTATTTTGCTCCTCATTCTGAATCGGTGACTGAGGTCGTCCAGGCAAGTGACCAGCAGACGGGGGGCGTGGCTTTTTCATTCCACGATTAGATCGGAAAACTTCACCCCAGTTTAGCAGGCCGCCTGGGCAAATACCACTCTATCGCCTTCCCTGGCACAGCCCTCGGTGGGGTTCAGCAGCAGCGTCGCCGCACTACGCACAGCAGTGATGCTATCGTCATCATCGGTACCTCCTAAGCCTCCTTCATCATTTGGGCTGTGTCCTGCTCGAAACACTGCGCCACTCGTGAAGTTGACACTTCCAACACTTCCCGCAGAGGAAGTTTCAGAATTTTGGCCTGTCGCCAACCCGATAAATTCGGGCCAGGAAACACAATCTGACGTTTTTTTTAGCAGGGACGATCCAATGCTCGAACAAACAGTCGAGGTCGGGCCCACAAGTGTCGTCTCTGTTTCTTGTATGGACGAGCGCCAACTGCTCTACGAGTTTGCAGGAAGTTACTTTCTCATGGCCTTGCCGCGTGAAACAAGCTTCAGTTGGTCGTCACTTTTGTTTAAATGCCACGCCGCACCGAAGTCACCTGCAGTTCTGTTCTCGTTTGTCCGCCGTCTTTGGTTTCAAGCTCTCAACCGTTGTTAACAACTCTACCGTAGTCTGCTCTGAAGCCTTCCTGCGCATGCTCTGTCCCTCGGCCTGTGCATGTACAGAAATTGACTTGCCGGAAGGGCATGACGTGGTAGTGGACGACGGGGAGGTGGACTTGGGCGAGTCGATCGAGGCAGCAGAACAGGAAGAGCTCAAGTGGACGGACAAGGGGATCGACCTCCTCTTGCAACGAGAGGGGGGGGCTCCGACAGCCAACACCTGACGACAGCCAACAGCTGAAGCGGATTGCAAGATGTTGGTTTCAGATACCGAGACGATCTCGCGGCTAAACTGCACGCGGTTGACGATGGCGGTCAAGGCGTATCAATGCTGCATACTTCGTACTTCGAAGCATGTGTTTCGGGCTGGGCGAGGGCAGAACATTTCATGTCTTGGTGGTCGATTTTGAAGTTCCGTTCAATGCATGTGGAATAGCTCCGACGAAGGATGGTGGGGTTCAATTTCTGCGCGCTCTCCGTGGCGTACATTGGTTGCTCGGAGTGTTGGCTTCAGGGATGTATCACAGTGTACGTACGAGAAGCGTGTGAATGTATCGTGGGAGTGCTTTCAACGAGGTGTTGTACATCATTGTTTTTAGAATAAATATTTCATGTTTACACCTCCTCGGCTCTTCCGCCGGCAACAGGCGCGCTGCGTGGAACATCTCGTGTTGCGAAAGGGTGTTATTTGCATTGAAATTGAGGAGACACGTGCACAAGCTGTGTGTATGCAGGACGCGATTCGCTTGAGAAAAAGTGGTTTCCTAATCTGCGTCTACAGCAGAGTAGTGCCATGGCAACTCATCGATCGTACCAACGGTTTCACGTTTCGACGTTTCAACCTGTCTCACGAAGCAATCCCATTGTCGTCGGTATCTATCAGCGTCACATGATCGCATATGGAGTCAGCCATACGTTATCCCATGTGTTTCGAAAGGACAAACGAACTTCAAGTGCAGAGCATTTCACGGGTAACGAGCGCTCGACAAAGAGAGCAGGATGAAATTTTAAGTGGCGCTCAAGAATCAATACAACTTTCCGTTGTCACCATTTTTACAACACAAGATTTTGCGCAGCACGTGCCGCGGGTTCTACGGGTCGCGTTTTCGGGTCGCGTTTTCGGGTCGCGTCCAGCGAAGTGGCGAGCGTGGTGGCCACCGCGGAGTGCACCTTTGCAGGTTTGCCCATGTGCCGCCTATTCGAAACTCATGAACCCATACGTCAACCCAGGAGAGGCCGGAGGAATCTACCGCTGGTTTGGCACGTAAGATGGACTCCCTGGATGGCGCGAAGTGTAGAGATTGACTTTTGTTTCTTGAGATGTCTTCATTCAAGACTGGTTGGCAGGCAGTCGAGAGGAATATCGCGGATGGCTTTGGAATATGCCCAGCTTACCACAAAAATTTATCAAAACCTGCGATGTGTTATCCACATCCTTCTGGCCACCAAGCCTCAGCGGATCGGCCACTCATCGCTCGTTCACCACGCTATGTACGCACGGCAATATCCCTGCCTTTGCGCATGACCTTATGTCTGCCTGTGGTTCCTTTCACACCTTCGCGAGAGCATATTACCACAGTGGACACACTTGTCCTCAACCTACCGCGAACACGAGGTTGTCTTTGCGTGACATTAAAAACCGTGTCGTACACGTAGTTACTACGAATCTCAAAAATAATCCATACTGGCGGAATCGTTCCACTTCATCGTAAACTGTATTCCTACTCTAGGCGTTTCTTTAACCTCACGCAGCACCGACTGCACGCCATGTAAATCCACCGGCTTGCCCATTTCGACCACGTGTAGTACATCGATTAACTCTCGCTCCCTTCATGGTGGTGTTGCTGCTTGGACGAACGCATGGGCAACACCCGTCGAGGAGAGCTTGCTGGTGGCGATTTCCCCTCCACTGCATTGGTGCTCAAGCGGACCTTTTTCTTTTGGCGGGATGGCGTATCCCACAACAGTGCACGTGGCGATCCGACAACCTGCTCACGCTCGCCCCGCCCTGAACTGCACGGCTGCGCCCCGCCCACCAGTTCTTGAGCGAGAGAAATGCAACAGTCCGCGGTCGACTGTCCACTGGCTTGATCGCCACCGACCGAGTGATGAGGTTCTACCGCCGGCATTGCCCCCGGCGAAGAAAGGCGGTGGCCCTGCTCAGGACCGGCTTGAGGCGATAGCGGTCGAGGTGGTGGCGGCAATGACGGCGCCAACGAAGCCGTCTGTACTATCGAAGGGGCCGTCTTACCCAATGAAGGGGCTTTCACTGAAAAAGAGGCCTGCGCTGCACTCCGTTCTCCGAAGAACGCCGTCGCAGCCCGCCAAGCTCCCGCACCCATAAGAGCCCGCGCGAAATCATCCGCGCCCGCGCAGTCACCCGTCTCTAGCGGCCGTAGCGCAAGGCAAGCCGACGTGAGAAGCGGGTTTCCAGATTCGGACGCTGCCGCAGCACCCCGATTCCCGCCCTCACCACTGTCCCTCTCTCCGACCCCGAGGTTGCCCAATCCCAGAGCAATTCTCACAAGGCCTTCAATCGCAGATAGGGCTACCGCTTGGGCAGCTTCTTGAGCGGCGGAGTCCGATTCAATAGCCCCCGCTCGGGATGGTGCACCGAACGATTTCTGTAACTTGCCGCCTCTCGTCGGTACCGGCTTTGCCAAGGCGTGGTAGAGCAGTCCCAACCCAAGGAGCAGCTGCCGGGCCACGGACCAGTGCCGACATGGCGGGGTTGCCAAAGCGCGCGCAGTGAGGTCCACCACTCGGGTCGCGAACGCGCGCAGCGTCGCAAGGGCAGGCGGGGGCTGTCCACCCATGCCGAACCGGCGGGATCCGCAGAGAAGATCATGTGGTACTGTCGACAATGCACGGGCGAGAGCTGAGGGTGGGCCGTCCAATGTAATCCGCGAGGAGGCGTCGCTGTCAATTCTTTCTGGTCCCAGGCTCCCGCGACGGCGACGGGCGAGCGAACCCCCGCCGAATGAGCCGTTGTTGCCGCACGCCGCAACCACGGCCTCAAGCGGCCAAAGCCACGACATTGGTCCTCCGTTTGGTGCCGCCGGCGCCTCCCCACTTCCGAAACGCAGAAGCTCCTCGCGAAAAAATGCCTTCACTACGAGATGGCACGCCGAGACCATTCCGCCGGCGCTTCCTGAAGAAGGATCGGCTGTCACTGACCCCCCGTCACACACGACGGCATCAGCCGCCATCTTGGCGCGTTTCCTTCCACTCCCCTCCACCGTAGCCTCAGCCTCGATGAGCACAGCCAGCCACTGTCGGGCCATCTCGTTTGAAGCTCTACCGAACTGGCATGGGAGGTACACCTCGAGAGCCATCCTTCGCAGGTATGCCTCAAGCAGATGTTTCGGGCAGGTTGACCCACCTCTCAAAACCACTCGCAACCATGAGGCGAAAGGAGGAAGCAAGATGGCGGGCGGCGCTTCCTCTGTACTAGTGCTTTCAGAACTCTGGCATATTGCCGCCCATGTCCCAGGAAAGTTCCATGCGGCCTGAAGCGGGGACCTCCCCCAGTGTTGCCACTCGTCAGGCTGGATTGTGCGCGCCAACGCTTCGACACGCACCTGTACCCCACTACCTGCGCTAGCGCCGGTAGCACTGGAAAGAATAAGCCAATCTCCGAAGCCCGCGTCGCCCGTCGGGATTAGAGACCCGAGCCTCGCCCCGTACCAGTGCACCCACGCCTCGTGGGTTCCGCGCCTGCTCCGTTGACCGGCTCTCGGTCCATCCCCTCCGATCCAGACGGCGGCTGCAGCGGCCATCGCGAGAGGATCCTGCTGAGTGCTTCCGTCAAGGCATGAAGACATCCAACCGGATACATCACATCGCCCCTCGTCGATTAGGCACCGAAGCAGCTCTAGCCAGATTGGTGGGGGTGCATCTGAGGCAACCGGGGCCGCAGCTATGTTAAGCGCCTTGGAGCAGAGAACTGACCGGAAGACAGCCGGGATAACTTCCTGCCAAGTCAGCGTCAAAAAAGTAAGTTGTGGGTCCGGTCAGAGAAATATAACTGTCGATTTCCCACAGCGGGATACAACCGGGACGAACAAGAAAGGACGTTTCCCTTTAGATTGTCAACAGACGGGCGTTACTCACGTTCATCTCCCTACACTTTGAGGTTTGAAGCCTTCAGCATTTTGCAGCTTCAGCAAAACGGAAAATTAAGAACACTCCGCACGTTCTCACCTCTCCACCTTCATCCCAAGCAAGTAACAGTTCGCTGACAGCAAACACAGCTGCCTCGGCTGTCAGAGTCCTTCCTTCGGTCTCATTCCTTTCTCCGCCAGATACCAGCTGTCGCACAGGCTTTTGCCGAGCATTCCGCAACACCAACTCTCTGAGCTCGTCCGCTAAAGGCTGCCACGGAAGCCACCGCCTGAACTGCTTTACCGTCTTTACGATGCTCGACACCCAAGACGTCAACGCTGCAGCCGCTGGCGAATGCTGCAATCGCCCAGCAAGAGCTCGCCTAGGTAACTCCAGTTGCCTGTGGCCAGCACCGTCGCCATCCCTTGAACAGCCCCCCCCGACAACACTAGGCCAACGTGGGTCTACACCCTCGACACCACCACCGCCGGATTGGAAGCGGTGGTAGTCGTTGGTCCGCCAAGCTTCTTGTCCTTGGTTTGTTCTGGTGACGAGCGCGGATGCATGGTGTGCGATTGCTCGCGCGAGAGTTCGCGCCGTCCGGAACACATCTGGAAACGATTTCTCGATATCCATGTCGCCAACTAAACGGGAACCGCCCACATCGCACAGGAGGGACTGGAGCATTACTTCTAGCCGCAGCGCCGTAAGCTGTTGCCTGGACAAGGCACATACGCAGCAAACGCGGGGAATGGCGAGGACTCGGACTTCCCACAGGAGCTTGTGCAGCAGCAGCACCGGATGCACTAGATCAGCATCGCTGCTACAGCTGCTGCAGCTATTGCTTCCACATGATCAACAAACGACAATCACTCCGATTCAGCGACCGTCCAAGCGTTTGTGTTCTTCACCTGGAATGATCACAGTGCCATACGTGCGTCTCGCCCTCCGTACGAGCAGCCTCCTTAGCTGCTACCAGTAGCTGAGGCGGTGGAGGGGTCATCGCTGCCTTCGTCTCATCCCAACCGGGCACTCCGCTCTCAACCAGGAATCCGACGAGGAGACAGGCAGCAACCTTGCGATCACCCGATCCCGCTGGCAGCGTTGTTGGTATTCCTCCAAGGGGTTGCCCGGGGGAAGCGGGTGCGGTACAAAGTGCTGTTCGTAGAACACGCTGGACGACCTGGAGTTCGTTGCCACAACCACTGCTGAGTGTAGCAGGGGTACCGGAAAACGAGGTGTCGGAGGGACACGTTGTTGGTAAACGCTGAACAAATCAAGCGTCCTAGGAGCAATACGACCAGTACCATGATGCGACGAATACTTTCGTGTCCACTTAGGCAGGAGCGACATGGGTTTTCCACCTTGCCTCAGCTTCTGCCTGCGGGCTTCTCAACTATTTGGAATTCCCTCATCGAAATACACACGGAAGATGCAACGCAGGGGGGAATCACAACGCCCAACCAACGCGTGTACCATGCTTCCGAACATGCTAGGAATGCGGATCAGTGACCCACACAACGTAACCCCGGCTTCCAATCACAGTATCGCTATCGCTTCCCGCTGTCGCTTACCCCTGTTGCATAGCTTCTCGGATAGATCGCCTAGCCGCTGTCGGAGATCGAACAAAAGCGTCTAAGAGTAATCCTGCCGTCACGAATGCCACCGACGCATCCGCCTGCCATCCATCTCTATCCTTCGCTGGCGACTCTCCGTCGTCACCTACTCCCACGCCTCCCGCACCCGACGCCTCGCCGCACTTGAGCCCGGCCGAGCGTGGTGGAGAAACCGTTGCAGGCACCGGAAGCGGGAGAAGACGGCTTTGCTTCGCCGCGCCAGCCAACTTCAACAAGGATGCCAAAGGGGATGCCGGGTCCCCATCTAAGTTTTCTCCCACCCCCCTCCCGGAAACGCTTCTGTTGTTCCCGGAGCGTCGGGGACAGCCCCCTACACCCCTACCGGCTGTAGCAAGCTCCGCCGCCTCTTCCACGGCGAGTAGCACGGGTTTCGCCTCGAACGGTACTCTCTGAATCAGCACCCGGGTCAGAGCAGTGGCGGACATGAACCTGTCCAGGTCCACCGTCGAGTCCGCAGGCGTGCGCACCGGCAGGACAGCCGTCACAAGAGCCCCGTGGAGCCATGCCATCGACTGCAGAGGGCACGAGGGAGGTGTGGAATGCCAGAAGGGGATGCGGCAGTCTTAGTCCTGCACTATTGTACGATGGCAACAGAGGCAGGACTGCAAGAACGCACCTGAAAGGAACACTTCGAAGAGTGCATGCTGTAGGGAGACAGATACACGAGATGTGGTGGCTACTTGAGGCGATATGCCAGCTCCACAAAGTCGTAGCTCACCGAGGATCACCTAGATTTTAGATGCAGCCTATGTGAACGCAAACAACGCATGGTGCGAGGTCAACTTAAACACAATCATAGTCGTTTCATGTAGTGAAAACAAGCTGAGGTTTGAGAGAAGCTTGTGTACGTTTGCCCCACACCAAACAAGCGCGTGCTTAGTGCTGCTCAGAGCCTGTGCAATTAAGAGGACCTTGAAAGTCTGCGATCATGCTCACCAACGAACGCAAATCGCCCACTTCGTTATCACCCCCTGCTGGCCGCCCGTTTTCGGCCGCTGAAGCTGCAATGAACGCTGCGAAAACATCAGCCGCCAACGCAGGGCCGTCATCGCTTGGTCCCTCCAGTAAGCCAGCCAGCAAGTCCGAAGCAGTGAGACAGCCCTTGGCGGCAGTGACCATGTCAATCACCACGCGGATGGGACTCGAGCCAAGCAGTCCGGGGGAAACCATCCACGATTGACTGCTCGGGCAGAGGTTCGGACATCAAGAGCGGCGTAAAGAGCAGTTTTCACGAATGCAAAGGATCGCGGGTGTATAGACGCAAATACTATTTCCACTCTGTCGCGCTGATTTCGCCTTGTGCAACTCTTCAAGACCTACATGCACGTCCGCAAATGCGTCATAGCATACTTCAATGGACGCTGGTTCCCGACCTTGTCACATGCCACAATAGATTGAGAGCGCACCATGTCTTCCTGGAGGCCGTGACCACAGCCGCAGCCGTCCGAACGATCAAGGAAGCGGGCATCTTTTCTTCGTGAAGCAAGCACGCTCCCTGTAGCAATCCCCACAGCTCCTCCCCCCCGACTTGTGAGAAACGCCGCTTGCCCCTCACCATGAACGGGGCCTGTCCCCCGAGGGAGGCAGACCTTTCCACACAGGCAATTGCGTACGTTTTGAGGGCGTCCGATGCCGCACCTGCTGTTGCTACGCGTCGTAGGACGTCCAGCCATTCTACTTCGTCTGCATCAACGCGCCCCATGGCCATGGCGGCGCCCGCTACAAGCCGATCCAATACCTCCGTGGGGTCCACACCACGACTCTCCACAGACCCATTCCTTGGTTGACCTTCACCATAGCTGTCCTGATTGTACGGGCATGATTCCCTCACGTCGCTTCGGACTCGGTCGACCAGTCCTGCGGTGCAGATTCCCTCATCAGCACAAGCGGCGCCAGGGCTAGGAAATACTACAAAAGTTGCCATCGCTGCGGCCTCGAAATCGCCTTCCCAGTCTTCTCCTTCCACCCCCTCTGTGGCCCCCCAAACCCAAGGAGTGTCCGCCAGCCACGCGACGAAGGCACCGACAACTGTGGCCAACGTCCTGCGGCGGAAATCACACGCGGATTGAGCTGTGGCAACAACCTGTGCTCCAGTGAGCCGCCCAGAGTCCATCGAAATTGTCGGGCTTGAAGTCGAGGGTAGTCGCTCTCGCTCCTGGTACATGCCCACCAACACCAACAGCATGTCACGAATTCGAGTCCCTTCCTCAACAAGGCCTCGCATCAAAGCGCACGCTTGTCGTGCCTCTGTGGTTCTTGTCGCTCGTGTGGAGCTGGAGGTTGACGTTAATCCGATCTCGTCACCATCCGGCACGACGGCATCTAGCAACCCCCTGCCTCCCGCTAGACCAACGCCGAAGAGGCATGTCTCGAGGGCATGCTTGAGATTCACCGAAACCCGGCGGCCTTTGTTGGAGGAGACCTGTTGGTCTTTGGCCTCGGAGGTGGAGGTTGGAGAAAGCTGTTCCTTTAGCGCAGCCTGGGAGAACGAATAGGACAAAGCACACAACGACCACTGTCAAGTTTTTCACTCCCACTCTTTTCCCTCAACCTCGGACCACACAAGCGTGGCACAAAATAAATGTTGTAGTGGAACACCAGGTGGTTTGTCCTGGGAGATACTGCACTTCGCACGTTAATGAAAACAATCGGCGCACAATACTCGTCGAAAAGCTTGCATCCTACGAAAAGAAAAATAGGATTGCTAACCGTTGGCCGGTATCATCTGTGCCCCCCGGTAGAAGCGTATCCTACTGTCAGACCACCCCCCAGCAACACATGGGTAAACCAAGCCAACATTTTTTGTAAACGACAGCACAAACATCGAAAGAATAGATTATCACCTGCACCGCGAGAATGAAGGCTTCACCGCAGCGGCCTCGCTCCAAAGCTCTCTTCACTGCTTGTGGATGTATATCTAGATCTTCCAGCGCGACATCACCGATGATGGTCCTAACGCTTGGAACCGACTGCCCCACCGGTGCGTTTCCTTCGCTTCCTCTCCTGGACAGCAGCGCGTCTCGCAACCCCTGCAGCTTAAGTCGAAACGAATCCGCGGCATGCCGTTCAGGCAACGAAGTCGCCGCCCGTACCGAAGATATTGTGGCTACGTCATCAGGGGTGGTGCCCAGAGAAGCAAAGAGGAATCCACTTTTCTTGGTCGAAACTGCCGCAGGTCCCGCTACCTCGACCCTTGCAAGCTCCGCGCACACGTCAGCCATCAAGGTTGCTTGGTACATCTCAGCTTTGTCCGTCCCAACTGCCACCCGGTTGGCAATTTGTTTTGATGGTGCCGATTTCGCGCCATGCCCACGCGCGCGTCCCTTGCCTTTGCCCGCCTCACTGCCGCTCACGCTGCTGCTTCCCTCCGTTGCGATTTCTTGGAGGGCCAAGGAGCATGCGGAGTCCGCCACGGTCGGCAGCCATCTCCACCTCTTGCTCCCGGCGCTTGCGCCAGCTGAGCATGCATGCAACAAGCACAATCGAGCGGCCCACGGCAGCAACGGGCTTGTCCCACCCTGTGTATGAAGGAGAGCCTAACACAATAGATCGATTTGGGCAGGATCCCCAGATTCCCAGGCATATGAAAGGGCGAAGAATACCAACGAGTGAGAGACGTTGGGATTCGGAAGGTAGAGGCGCTCAGCTTCAGCAAGGACGAGATACGTTACTCGTCAAGAGCTTTTGGAAATCGTTTGACAACAACATTTATCCATGAAACGCTATATAGCTATAAGGACGTTCTTGGAAGTGTTCAACCCTGCCCCCATCGTGCTCGAGCCACCTCGGATGCGGGTACGGATACGAGTCAAAACGGACAGACCGTACGGCTGCCGTAGAAGCTCCAGTACAGCAAAGACAGCAGACATATACTCGTCAACATGACAGAAGCACGAGACACGTCCGGCCCCACACCTCAAGGCTGCTGTCTCCGAGGGCGTCGACGACAGGTGCAACGACGTGCGAAGCGGAGGGGTGGTAAGATGCAAGAAGAACCTCCAGCGCCAGGCGGATCCCCGTGTGAGGTACTCGCGCTTCTGCCGAGGCCCCTGCAGATGCCCTGTGCCTTTGGCTGGGTTGGTTGCCGGCTGCTGCACCTGTTCGCATATCGAGAAGGCGGTGAGGCCAAATATACCGTTATTACTGCTACAGCAGTATGCGTGGCCCTGTTGGGAGAGGTTACACCGCGCAATTTGCACAAGAGACTTCGGGTGATGAAGGGCCAAAGTCTTAAGCAGGACACATGTCCCGTGGATGCCATGTCCTACTTATCTTTGGCCTCTGGTGGACTCGTTGCTTAGTCCTCACGCACTTTCTCCAATCACGTGATGCTGCGTGGATAATAATGTCTACATTCTTCATCGACGGGGAGAGCTTGGAACCCGCCGCATTGAACTGAAGGTGGGTGTTCAATGCTCAACGGCAAAACCTGTTACGGTATGGATACGAAGTACAGCAGAGTCGGTATTGGACGCCGTACAAACATCTGCTACGGCGGAACATCATTCTGCAGATACGCGTTGAGGTCAGTGAATACAACAGGGCACACGAATGCCACGGGTCAAGTACGCGAGCTCTCCCCTCCAAACGTCAACGTCTACAGCTTCCTCGCCCCTCTCACTCACCCTCTCGAAGCCTCCTGGCGAGTGTGGACAAGGCAAACCCTCGAATCACAGGGTGACGCTGCAGCACAGACCGCAATACAGCTTGGCTCTTCAAGCACTCGGCCTCTTCTCCCGAGTTCGCCGCCAAGCGAAATATCGCTAGACCCACAGCGCGGTAAGATTCTTCCATGGCGTGTGCGTTATCCCCACGGCAGAACAAGCCGCGTAACCCTGCTTAGTGCACCTTCTCTGACCAACTACATGTACATCCACTTTCCCGTCGGTTACGTGGAAAAAAACGAAGGGATATCAAGAGTGGCGGTGGATATTTTTCCGGCGGGCGTTCTGTGCACTAGGCACAACGGACGGGCATACGCTGAACTTGACTGAGTTGCTTCCTCCGGCTTGGAGCAGCTTGCTGCCGCTTGAGGCACTTGTGTGTGTGGGCGGAGCCCCCCCAAGGTTGTCTCGAAGCCATTTGATGTATTCACGGAGCCCCGCGTGTGGGCGCGGGCAGTGGATGATGTACACGGCAGTGCAGAGTCATCGGCGAGGATGTATGCCTTCAAAACTCTCCGTTCCAAAAGTGTGGCGCCTCTTACGTTGGCTGCTGCAGGGTTTGTGGCTTCCTCTGCAAGATTCGACAGGTGAAGTCTAAACAAGTGTTGCTCAAATTGTATTGATATCCCTTTCGATCCGTTCAACTCCTGTCCGCTCGTACAGCTAGCTGTTCGCTGTTCGCCTTCCGTCACCGCAGCAGACGTGTGCAGTCTCTCTCTATGCCGTTGATTTCACTACTGATCATGCCGTTGTATCGATTCTAGTATCTATCGTGAAGTTCATCGATACGGCCCGAACAAAAGAGCAACCTCTTGCTCTCTCCGAGGCCTGGGTATATTATTGGTGCGCACATAGTTTCATGTGTTTTCCTGCAAGCTGCTGTGTAACGGTTAACCACACACACCAGCGCCGGCCAACTCATAATAACCATCCCACCAGAAAATGCATGCCTCTGAACGGGGTATGTCCTCGAGCGGGTGCTCACCTGAGTATGTGTGTGCGTATATTTTGCAAGAGATCGAGGGCCGATTTTTTCAGGCAGCGTTTGGTAGAACACCAATACAGCAGCAGAACACGGCACCACAAAAAGCATATTATCGCAGTAATTTTTGGATGGTATCTGGCCACAACACACTGACAGTTGTACCCCCCACACGGTATCCAGCCACCACGGTAATTACGGTCTTGCTTCAGCGTATGGCAAGGAGTTAACACGAAAAATCGTTGATTGCTTGCACTATTCACATCTCAAAACCACGAATACCAGACAAGATTCCTTCACGACAGAAGAATCTTGTGACGTACCAGTGTACAACGCCCATCATAATGGTGAAGAACGTGTTTCAAGGCATTAGAGGGCACAACTTGTTTTATCCCGACCAGCCCAACCCTCTCGGGTCGCACTCAGAACCCTGTTCTGTACCACACATGTACCAGTGCTACCTCATACGTTACATAACCCTTGAGATCCCTCCCTCGTCGATATCGTTCACTAGGCAAACAGAGGCAGAACCCATCAGCATAGATCCTCGAGCTTCTCAGCAGCCCAAACAAGATGGCGAACAGGGGAAGTCCCCGTCTGCTGGGGGCGGCGAGAGCGGAAAGAAGCAGCCCCTGTTCCCACCACCCATCGGGCCAATGGTAGCGGTGTATCTGGACGATACCTCGGTGGATAAGTTGAGAGCCCATTTCCCCGAAGCCCGTGACGGGCAGTTGAGGAAGGTCGTTATTCAGTACGGCCCTTCGGCGTCCGAGCGGGAAATGTACCGGCACCTGTTCAGCGGCAAGGCCGAAGTCACGGTGAGGAGAGTCTCATCAAGTTTCATTACGTGCTGACTGATGTGGGTGCGTTGTGAGGGTGTCGTTTGCAAGGAAAATAAATTATGGTGTGTTCTTTTGTGGTGTCGAGCCTTGTTCCGTAGCATGTCTATAAAATAGTGACATGGGCAACCCTCGGTAGCATAGAGGGGGACGTCTGCCGTCCCCGAAGGATGCTGGAATGCTGTCGAAAAACGAACAACTGCTGGTGCGCTATGCTTTCTGTCGACACAACGCGGTATGAGTACACGACATCCTTGATGAAACTGCCGAGCCGTCAAACAATAGCGAAGTTCTTTTTCTCGTCGTTCGACAACGCTTGCTTTGTTTCTCCCCGTGACAGGTAACGGGGGACGCCTCGAGCTTTGCGCGGCGCGCTCTGGTTGCCTCCGTCTCTCACGCTGGCAAGATTGTCGAACCGGCGTCTCTATCGGCGACGATCGATATCTCGCCTCCTGCCATCACTGACCCTGAAGCACCAGCGGTGGCGGAAAACGATGGTCCGGGACCCCTGGCCAGCGCCGTTTTGATTGAACAAGCCAAGAAGGCCGGAGCGACAAAGGAGGTATGGTGCGGTGCATGGGTATATGTGAGGGGAGGATTGTACTATCTGTTCGACAGGGAAGACGGTTCATGTGTTTGCAGCCGTTTGGTATCCGCAGTGTGTTTGGTGTTTACTCCTTTCCTTTTCGCCTCTGCATGCGTGCCTGTTTGCAAATTGCTTGCCTTTTTCTACTTCGTTGTTATCATGCATGTTTTCGATTGACGTCGGGCCTCAACTTACTCCTCCATCGTCATATTTTCGCCGTCCCAACCGTGTCCGATTGATCAGGAAATGTGGGAGGGCACACTTCCACCCTTGTTGGCCCACCACCGTCAATTCCCAAGCGAACCAGGAGCGTACATAAGGCTCAAGGAACCCATCACTGTCTACGGCACTATTTGCCGCGCCGATTGGGTCGACGGCGCGTCCAATGTTTGCCGAGATACATTGGATGGAGGGCAGAAGAGAGAGGAAGATTGGGAACCTTCGGACTGTTCGATCTGCGCGTTTTTCTCCGTCAGCCCGTGCAAGGGAATTTTCGAAAGGTAAAGCACCCCGACGACCCTTTCCCAGAATCGGAGCGTCTACTCGTAAGACCTGGGTTGTGTTCAAGACCCATCGCTCCGATTGGCGCATGTCCTGCAGATACGACAGCGGCGGAGTTCGCTCAACGGCTCTCATGTTCTTGAGCAAGCTGCTCAGGTGCCAGAGGCTCGATGTGATTCGCCGCGTACGACTACGGCTCGCAACAGGTCAACATGTTTTCTGCTGGACGCGGGACTCTTGTACCTTGCTCAGGTAGATGGCCATACGGTGTTTAGTAAAGAACAACTACAACATTAGGGAGCAACACGCTGTTTACTTCTCCCGGCGTTTTTTTACGGTCACACACAGGTTTGTAGCAACGAGCAAACGTCGGGACGAGTACCTCAAAACGTTCGAAACAGAGCAAGAAGCAGATGACGAGGGAGACAGAACTTCTGAGGGAGAGGCAGGCACCATGCGAGAAACCCGCGGAAGTACCAGCGAGACGGCGGACGCAAGAGCAACCTCCGTGGAACGAACAAGTACAGAAGACGGTAGGCGTGCCGGCACTGGCACGGCGGAGGGGAAGGCAGGAAAGGAACAAGATTCGACCGCTGAAAAGGAGGGAAACGTTGCGGCGGTGGGAAATGCTGCTGAAGCAGGGCGAAAGCGGCAGGCGGACCGAGACCTCATAGAAGAGCAGCTGGAGAAGGAAACTTTGGCCATTTTCCAAGAAATGAAGGAGTGCATGATCTACCATGACCTGTACTGATTGGATCAATCAAGTGCTAGGCTTGGACGGACCTGCGATGTCCTTACTAAAGGAGATTCGGTGCTTCTCTTCTTAGACAGCATGTTATTGATCGCGGAAACAACTGTTGTTTGGAAGTAGATAGAATATATGTTGGGTTGGCAAGGACTCCTGTACAGATGGGATTTGATGCTTGTGTCACGGTATCGATGGTAGGGTGACGCTTGCGGCGAAGATAGACCACCACGGTCGTCATCTGTACTCGCTCGTTGGTTGGGTCATGTCCGGTCGTTGGCCCGAAGAGCGGAGTGTTGATATCATTGTCTTGGATTTCCACGAATACCAAGCTTAGATCTGATGGATCTAGTCTCAACTCAACATACAAGTCGGCGTGCCGAGGATGTCAACTTTGGGTGATCTCATCCCAAGCTGCAGCTTCTCGAGAAGACCCAGAGCAAGCCAGGACATCTTCCCAGTAGACGCATCGCGGTAGGACCGGCCCTGCACATTATTTTCTGCCCACGTATACATCGTAGGCTACTGGGTGCGGCTCTAGACGCCAGAGAACGTGTATCATCGCGTCCAGCACAATCTATCTATCCCGCGCCACTGAATTGTGAGCGAGTGTTTCCCGTTCATGTTGCTCATGCCGTTGAACCGCGGTCATCAGCCCTAATACCCACTACGTGGATTCACTTGCCAGGCCACGCGTCAGATGCCCTAGCGTCAACTTGTTTCGCAAGGCTGTGGTGTTGTCCCCAGACATTTCGCTAAGATACCCCTCCCCCGCCCGTCGTCGCTTGTCTACCCCATGGGAGAAGCCTTCCGCTGGTCTCCGTTTCCCCCCGCGAATCGGCCCCAACGGAGCCGGCGGTATTGCTATTTCTACCATTGGTATTTTGCCCGCGCGCACTGCTGGTGCCAAAACGGGCAGCCACGTTGCCGAGCGACCGTCGGCACGCCCCGATGGAATCGCAACAGCTTTGCCACGAATCTCTTAGACTGAGGAGGGGGGCGGAGAAACACGAATGCAGGAAATTTGTTGTCAAGATTTTTGCCACCGTTGCTGATGGTATTCTCGAGTTGGTTGCACTCACGTTCGTAGACGGGCTGCTGGTGGCCAGGTTCATTGGGTGATCAACGCGCTCTATATTTTCCCCACGATCGTTAAGCCTTGCGTCGGGGTGCGAGGGCCCAGGCTAGTGACGTTTTCATCACAAAACCCGCCCCCTTGATCAGGTACAGAATGCTTCAATGAACAAGCCAACAATTAGGGCTTGGCGGTGATTGTCAACACGGCGGTGATTGTTGACACGGGTTCTTACTCGGTGGCCAAACCTTTCCGTCCGAGAAGGTGTCTGCAACCCAGCAAATTCACGGCGAACGGAGGCAGCACAAGCGGACACCGCATAACACATTACCTTTGTCCAGGTTGTTCTTGCTCGTCGGCTGTGGTTGGCAGCTCCGGAGGTGGGTAGGGGACGAAGTTATGCCTCAGCCCGATGCTATCTCGTACCCACCAGTAGCTCTCCATCTCCATATAGAAGGCTGCGGGGATGAGGAACCGACACATGGACGTTGGCGGTTACATAGTGACGGACGAGCCGACTGTGCTCCAAAGATTCAGTAGCCCGCCGCTCCAAACGAGCATTGTTGTAGCAACGGATGCACGTTGCAAGTTCGATGCATTAAGAAGCAAGCGTCACCTGGAGAAGGCATGAGGGGCTTCGTCAGCCCATAAACGTGCATCACGCCGACCAGGATGCCGGAAAGGTGGCCCACGAAGGATATGTTCGGCACGAAGACCTGCCGTTCGCGTGGGTGATGAGGGTGAGGACCATGATCGCAGGAATACGGCAACAAATTGAAAACGCCAACAGCACTCGGATGTTGATACAATCGGCAAACACAGGGATTACAGCATCTGGTAAGCGCCACGCCGACAGCTACAGCAGCAGCCGGAACCACGGGTACTCGGGACGCCGCGCAGATCTCTGATCAGGATGCCATGCCAAACACTGAGAGCAGTATTCTTGACGCGCAGAATATCCTCTTCCAGGCTTTACTTTGTACGCTTATGGTCTCTTTTGGGGTCTCACCGACAACAGTACTAGGAGAACCCAAGGGTACATCCGCGTGGGCACTCGCATCATGCCAAACACCGAGCGCGTGGGCTGCGTCGACCGGTAGCTCTCCATGAGAGCCAGCGTAAATATCACCCCGCTAAAGCCAACGGAGGCCTGGTTGACATACTTTGGGTCGTGCGTAACCCACACAGTCATCACCCTACCGAGGGGCAGGCAGACACCGAGAGGGAGGAGCACAGCGACACACATGAGAGTTTGAGGCCGTCTTACCACGAGAAAATGTTTTCCCGACTCCATCATGAACAGGTGCGCGATACCCCCGGAAAGTGCGCAATGAGCGTTTCTACCAAGTTTTTTGCTAGCCACGTAACCAATTGCAGGCAAACCAGTAGAGCTCAAGTAGAATCTTGGGGGTGAGGGCGGCCTTTTTTTTTGGCACCTCGGCGGGATGAGCGAAAGCAAGCACTGACACTGGACCATGGGATCTACCGTCTTGCTTCCTTCGAGCCGAGGCCAAACAACAAGGTCAGGATGACGCTGCAGCTTGAACGTAGATTACAAAGCAGAAGCGTTGAAATAGCGTAACTACTCGTAAATAAAGCCATCGGTTTGCTAGGGGCGCTGCTGTTCGAAATAGTCGGGCGTAGACCAAAACACGGCTGCGTGATGCCACCGCAGCGTACCGCCGCTAGGTTGCAGCAGAAGGCATGTAAAGGGGGGTAAAACACTCACCATTCTGCTCCGCAGTGAACCACACCAGCCAAGATCATGGACCACAAGATGGTAAACAAGAGCCACAGAGTCCCAAAGGTCACCTCCTGATATGAAAACCATTGCGTAAGCGCGACGTCAGAGGAAGGAGGCCAAAACAAGTCGTCACGTACAACGGATTGCAAGTGAGAGTGGTGAAGGAGAAAAAAGAGAGCACGTCAAAAACACTGTCACACCTAGAAGAAGGGCACAAAGTATCGCACAAGGGTTCACGACAACAGGCTATTGGCTAGAAGGACATCCACTACTTTCCCTTCAACGCCAGGTTGTGCACGACCGTAGTTTCTGAATGCCGCTTTGAGCACTTTTCTTTCTAGACAAGCAGGTCAAGCTTCACCTACACGGAACACCTCGCCCTCACGACCTGCGCTTCTTCGCGAAAAATGAACAAACGACTCCATATGCATACGTGCGACTTCATTGGGAGCACCTACCAGGCTGGATCCGATGGAAAGGAAGGACATCATGTTGAAGACGATGTGCATCAACCCGCCATGGAGCAACGCCCCCGTGATTACCCTGTAGTACTGCAACGACACACGAAAACATTTGACGTTGGGCATGGTTTGCCTCCGATTAGGTGTCGCAAGTCTGGATATCCAACCACAGTCATCCCCCATGCGTTCAACATTGAACCCAAGCACATTTAGACCTTCGTGTACACAGCATCGGAAGTATAAGTTCGCACATGGAGCGTCCGCCTCAAAGGGAAGATACCGTGGCCATTTTGGCTGGAGCGGTAGTCAAAGTGGTCTTTCTGGGACTTGGAATTGAGAATTCAGGACAGGCCCGAGGACTGCAACTTGGACTCTGAAACTTGTGGTGACAAATATGCGCGTCCCACCTCTCCCAAGCATATGATCCGCGATGGAATCAGAACGTAGTTTCCGATGTTCGTGTTGAACACAAAGACGCATCCCTGCAAAACGTGAACGGGAGAGGTGAGGCACACGACCGAGACGGCGGGAAGGGATGTGTGACACGCACAGGCAACGACTTCTTGAAACCTGTGCGGTGTTCCAATGTATATAGGAGGAGTTGTATGACGACACAGCAGTAAATGTTGCGACAGCAGCAGAATACTTGATTAAGCTGACTGCTACAAGTTGGGGGGGTGTTTGTTTGACCCCATCGAAACTGGCCCATAAGCTTGCGGAAGCAACCTCCCTTCAACCGGCTCCTCGAGACTCACACCGTCCGTGGGTTGTTGATTAGTCAAACCGAAGGAACGTAAGGCCTGCTTCTCTTACGCAGCGACGGTTAGGGGTCAAGGACCCATTACGCAGCAACGGAAAAGGACCAAAGAAATGAACCATTGAAGAGTAGAGCACAGACCTGGAGTATGATGCACAGCGTGGCGAACGCCAGCGTGCACAGCGGTACCTGCCCCGCAACCTGCCCGAAGTTGTTATTTCTCATGGTGGCCGCAACACTTGTCAGTTGAAGGTGTTCGCGATGAAGGTTGAAACCGTTTCACACACAATCTTGCGACCTGTTGACCAGTGGGAAGCTGTGCGTATCCTTCCCACCGGCCTGGGCGTGTGTGTGCGCGACGCAGCGAGGGAGGAGGCCAGCAGGAGGTGGCATGAGCATGTGAGAAACTTCGCCTAACGTCGCACGTGCGGCGGAACTCTACAGAACGAACCGTGAAATCTTCGGAGATGCAGCCAACACCCCTTTGTCTTGAGGACGTCAAAAGCATCTCGTCAGAGTGCGGTCATCGATGTTCGATGTCCTGATTTCACTGCTTGGGCGAGAGCGCGTAGTCGTTGCTGCACATTTTGTATATATTTTAAGTCATTTTCCAGGCACTAATCAAATGTATTTTGCTAGTGAACCGCATGTAAGCCAGCCTACAAGTAATGGTTGGTTTTTGTCCCCGATAGCTTCCGCTGTTTGCATTCAGTAAGCATGTTGGAAAAATAATACAATCGGGCGGCAGTCCATTTTTTGTCGTTTGTCGCAGTGCACTCCATACGCTTGCACGCTTGCCTTCGATGTTTGCCGCCTTTGTGAGCTTGACTTGGCCGAAAATAAACACCAGGTATTTTTCCTCAGAGGGGTTACTCTTGGCAATCACATAAGGCCATCATCATCTGCTGGTTGTGACGGAGACAACCTCGTACTTGTCAACGCCTTCTCACGTGAAGATTCTCTGCGAACGCGAGTACACCGGACCAGACGCACTTGCCTGTCCCAAATCCGACATCCATGAACTAGTGGAGCGTATCTCTCACATATTCCCGTATCAGAAACGTGCCCAAACTTCTGTGGCCCATGGACATCCCGCTGTCATGAGATTCACGCGCGTTGCAGAAAACCAGCATAATACCAGACCCGTAGGAAGATGGTAAGTACCGTATATGACACAAGAGAACACACCCCCTGGACCGATTTTATTTTTCAACAGCAGCAACAGCCTCAGGACCGAAAACGGTGGCGTTGAAGCCGTCTGGTCGAGAGCTCTTTGAACACGTATCCTTTCGTCTATGCTTCCTTTTCGTCGTGGAGTAATCGAGCTTTGAAAATCGGTCCAGGGGGTGTGTTATCTTGTGTCATATACGGTACAACGCCCCCCGAGACCACAACCACCTCGGCCACTCCGTCGAGGCATGTATCTACCACCCATGCAATGACCAGCTCGCCACACACCATAACCCTGTCGACTAGAATCTTTCCCGCCATAAAACTACCTCCAAAAAACGCGTTCACGCCGTCCCGCTACCTAACCCCCGTTTACATCCCGGGCATGCCGCCCATTCCCCCGCCGCGCCTTGCCCGCGGGTCTTCCTGTTCCTGCTTGTCCAGCTTGATCATGTCGTCTGCAAATGCGTAACGGGGGGCGGCGGGGGTGGGGGTTGTACTCATGTAAACACATGCGGTAGTCGGTGGACTTACCACGCCGGGACGGAGTGATTGCCAGGTTTGTTACCATCTACCATGCCGCGTGCATGACAGCGGCCGGGATCGTTACACACACCGAATGACACTGGACGCACACTCGATTTAGTAGATGCCGCTGCTTCTATACAGCTACATGGTTTCGGTTCCCGCGCACATTCAGGCGTTCCTAGAACGCCACCCTGTGCCCTTGCAAGCGCATCAGCAACCATAAAGCATCGAGTCCAAAACACAAAAAGTCCCAAATACAAAAAATCGTGGCACAGGCGAACAGACAAAACAGACATAGCGACGCTTACCAATACGCAAGATGGTGATGGCCGCCTCGGTGGCGAACCGGAACGACTTGATCTTGCTGATGGCAGGCTCCACCACCCCGCAAGCGAGGTTATCGCGCACCTTCCCCTCCACAAGCTCCAGCCCGTAGTGCCGGTACTCCGTCTATACATATATAATAGTGAACGTTCATTCACCGTACAGGTTGGAGGATGGAGGGAAAGAGAGATGAGCGCAGCGTTATTCAAGCATGCGTACTAGCGCGGCACCTCGTAGCCTCGATGAGCGTCCGACCTGTCTCTTTGGTGCAACCAGAAACTACGCAAAAAACATCAACCGCCCCGCAGCCTGCAGCAACGAGTCAGGAAGACACGGGGCCGACTGGCAACGAACTTTCGTATAGCGCCACATATTTCGAGGGGTACAGCACGATGGAATCTTAACGCAGTTTTTGACTTGAACATCGAACGACATGAATCAAGAAAAGAGACTAGCAGAACAATCCCCCGGAAAACGACACTAAGCAAAGCACTGGTGGGGTCCAGCCAACACTGGTCGTTCGGCGTTCAAACCAACGCCAAAGAAAAGGGAGTAAGAAAATATTCAAAAAACATAATAATGTGTTTCGGGTTTGCCCGGGACTGGACGTCATAAGCCAGAGAGACAAGACGGTACACACGTCCGGTAGACCCTGCTACCGAGGTACTGACGGAAAAAGGAGATCGTAGAAAAAAGCCGAGAACGAAGTAAAAATCACACCAAAAACGGTGATACATATGTACTTCTCACCTTGTCCTCCTGCAGCTGCGACGTGTTGTGGTACGCCCTCAACTTCGCCACGAGTTCGGTCGCGTCCTGCTCAAGCAACACAAGGAGAACATCGCACCCAATCACATCAAATGGTTGTGTCTGCATCACACCGAAGCTACTTGTACAGCAGCATCGAATCAAGATCGCAATTCGCACCACACCAGATGAAGCCATCAATTACATCGTTGCAGCACATCGCTTTCAACGGTTGAGGGCAAAAAGCAGAGAACAACGATAAGTCTGCAGCATCATCATAGGTCCCTCAGGATCCGTGGTGAGAAAGCGGTGACATTTACGAAGATATTAACCGCAAATTAGCAAAAAAAAACAGCCAGAGCCACACTACTGCCCCCGGATTCTGCGTTGGTCCCGAAGAGGCCCTCGTCGCCCCAATAATATACTTGCGGCAATATAATAGGGGAAACAGACAGGGAAGTCACGTTGTATGTGTAGGCGAACGCATCGAAACAGACCATCGTAATGCCCACCCCCGTGCTCAAGGGGAAACAAACCGGGAAGGAACACGTGCAAGATTCTGGCAAGAACAGCTTTCAGCCCGAACGATTTACCTGCGCGGCGTTGACGGCCAGGGTCTTGGGGATGACGAGTAGAGCCTCCGCGAACTCTGCGATGGCCAGCTGCTCGCGGGAGCCCAGGGTGGTCGCAAAGCTCTCGAGATAGATAGACAGCGCTGTCTCCACGGACCCTCCGCCAGCAACCAGCACGTTGCTTTCCAGCATTCTCTTGATGACCATCAGAGAGTCGTGCAATGCCCTGGTGCAAAAGTGCATCACGAAAAATGTGGGGGGCGTCATGATCTGTTGGTTCCCACCATGTATATAAATACTGGTCTGCACCGCTTTCTGGGGGCGACAGCGTTGGCTCCTTCCCAACCGCTAGCAGCATGTTCCGGGACACTCTTGGCGTGTTTGCCATGATCTAGCCGAAAGCTTGGAATGCCGTGCTGTATCCCTTTCCAAGCAGACCGTTTTAGCCAATTGTTCTGCACGAACTTTTGAGGTTTTTCCTGTACAACTTGTTAAATAGCCGGTGTTTACCTTGTTCTCATCACAAGCGATGCAAACGTAAACCTGCCTCTCGTTGTGTCACTAGTCTCGACACGCCAAGTGCAATAGCATGTCCTGGCTCTGGCTTCAGCTCTCATCACCTGTCCATCTCATCGAGCATGAAGTCGTTAGCCCCTCGGAGCACGACGGTGCAGGACGCCTGTGTCTTGGTGCCTTTGAAGAAAATCAACTCGCCATCGCCAACGCGTTGCTCCGAAACCTTCATTTTAACACCACGCGAATCATGTATCCCATGTGTGCGTGAGATAGACTCCAAAGATTCCGGATGAGCGCTTGAGCAAAGTTACCACAAAGGTATCACAAAGTGTGATTTTCTGTGCATGTCAAAACTTGCGTTTTCCTCCGGTGCGATCTGAGAGTGTCCCTTGCATTGGGGCGCAATCTAAGCGGCAATCAAAAAAAAGCCAGGTGATGCGTTCCGCGGGGTATGTTGTGCAGGTACGGTTTGCCGCTTCGTGTGGTGTATCGCAAATCGTAAAAGAGAAACGGATATCGTAAACCGATTCATGCCATGACGAACATCGCCTTGAGATCGAAAGTTTCACGGCAACTTGAATCTTACGTAACGCGCACCCATGCATCAAATACATACCGTGCGTGGTATCGTTGATCGTCCTGGATCGCGGTGTTGATCGACATCGACAAATTCCATCGTCGGTATCCTCGTCGACCGTACCGGGGATTTTCATCTTTACAGACACACGCATATGATTGATCGCATTGTGCATCGTCTCCTAGGTCTGTTGGTAGGTCATGCCGTACATGGATCGCAAGTGTCAGCGGTGGTGATGGCTGTTTAGGGGTAGAGGGGGGCATGGCCGGGCGGAAGCCCTACAGAGTACGCAATCATATTCACCCCCACCGCCCCCGAGGTTGCCAAAACAGCAATAAAAGCCGTTGGTCTGAAACCTGTATTTACTTCATGGCAGTGAGTGACTTTGGAGGAAAGCATTCCCACTCACTGAAAAGACTTCAACACATCCCTTTCGACTGCGGTGTTATCTCGAACGGGTAGTCTTTCTGGGTATTCGTGCATATTTGCTACAAAAACATGTCAACACGTTGGAATGGCATCAACTAACCTCGTCTGCCTGCCCCAGCACCTCCGGATCGAAAGTCTCATTCCCTTCCATGTCCGCCAAGGTCGTCACGATGCTCGCGCCCGTGGCCTTGGCGATGCGCCGCATGTCTTCCTTTTTTACGCGCCTGTGGTCCAAAGGTTGAAGAGGAAGAAAAGGAGCGGCCAGCGCCAAGACGGATGGGTGGTAAGAGGATACAGAGGCGCGTGGGTCCATATTGAGACATTTGCAACGGTATGTCGTCGATTCAACAAAACCAGTAGAGTATTCCCCAAACAGGTGCCGCAAAGATCAAACGTACCATACGACTATACTTAACAATGAGACCAACAATCACTGGAACAGACGTCCCTACCGATAGCTACGAATCACGATTTGTAAGGCTACTAGACTGCCGAAAACAACCGACAAAGAATAAACCCAAAGCCCCATGCTAGAAAATGGTGCACAAAGAGTGAGGCGAAAAACAAGTTCGCGGGTGCAAAGACCACCTGGCTGCCGTGGCGAATCCGCTTCCAAAAAACGCTGTGCAACATACATGGCATAATAGAGACCTTGCCATGCCAAGAGTCGGGGAAACAGAACGAGCGCACGTTTTGCCTTGCTGCCGTTGCTCTGCCTCTACGAAGCACGTGAAATCTTACAAAATGACTATTCCAACCCTCCTTCAGGTACATCCACTGATACTGTAGTATTCTAACATACGATCGACGAAAACCGTAGCCGTTCCGTTCGCAAATGTGATGAAACATCGAACAAACAACCACTGCAATTTTTTGGGAAAGAAGGAACAATACACCTGCGTACCGTACGGCCATGGCCCCGGCCTCTACGAAGTACTTGAGGCAGAGGTCGTCAATGCCCTTGGTCGTGAGCACTACCGTAGCCCCGGAGCTGAGGATCTTCTCGATCCGCTCCTTGGTGATGTCCATTTCCCGCTGTCGGATAGCGTCCACCTCCTTCACGTCGTTCACCACCACCTTTGGGTCGACAGGTATATGGGAATACGATGACGGTTACAACGTGAGAGGATGGCAAGGTGAGGGGAAAGCAGAGGACGCTTGAGGCGCTGCTGCGGTCGTTGGTTTCAAGACTCTCAAATGCAACGGCTCTCGAGAACCCCATCCTTCTTCTTGCACACACCACGCATCAAATTCTTCCGCACCAAAAACTACATCTTAAGGTATGAGATACAACCCATTTCAGGCCACCAGCGGTGCCAAATAAACGTGCGACATACGTGCTAAACAGACAAGGGGAACAAGTTCGCCGATGCATAGCAAAAAACAACACAACCTCAGGGTCCGGCACGAGCAACGTTGGTACCTGGACTCCCATCTGCATCTTGTATCGCTGCAGGTTGATGTCCAGGCAGGCGATCTTGGCATTCTGTACCGAGGTAGGCATGCCCTGCGAAGCCCTCACGCAGTTGAGCGCATAGCCGGGCTCTACCTTAGAGTCGAGCAAGCTCAGCCCGTGGCACTTGAGGATGTGCACCGCGGAGACCGGGTACTTGACAACCTGACGATGCCGATGTCGACACGGGAATCGTTAGGGCACGTACTCCTATGTACTAAAAATTAAGATACGGCAAGGCCATTTTGACCGTTCTGGACGTGTCGAGGACGCGACCGACTACCGTAACGATGTGCCAGAGGAACCACGAAATAGCAATAGGCTACGACAACCAACTACAAGGGCAATCGGAATTTGTAGCGACGCGTTTAGGGATGCGGCGACGGAGACAGAAACAATAACAGTGTATGGCCAGACCCACATTCCTTGACTAGAAAATAGTCTGAGTTCATTCTAGTTTCAGTGCCTTTGCATCCCCGCCCAATGGCATCTTGTTCGACACCATGAATGCCACACGCCAACGAAACCGTATTTTGTTTTTCTCACTCTTTCATGAAGTATGTCTCGAACACACTGCCATGTTTCTTGCCTTCTTGCCCAGGTCTCCGCCCGACTCTGTCCTGACCGCGGTGACCGCGTCCACCGCCATCTCTGCGAAATAATCGCTCTCCGGCCCGAGAATCTTGGAGCTCATTGCCGTCTTGGCCGCATTGATCAAGTTTGGCCTGAAACGTACACGGTGAGGGAAGATATTGCCTTGCATGAGGGTTTGAACTCGCTACTCTGCTGCTACTGGCCCGCGCGTGTGTGCGCGTCAAGTGCTGGATTTTGTTGTTCCTGTAGCCGAGGAGGATGAAAAGGCCCTTCGCTGCATGATCATGCCGTGATCACGCCGTGGACAAACGCTAATGCCACGTCCGGACACAACGGTACTCATGTACCTGGCCGATAATTTGCGACTGCAAGTCAACGCAGGAAAAGTAGGTAAATGTCACGCTGACGCTGCTGCCGACGGATCTCTCTATACCCATGAAGACCTGCGAGTTTTTCCATCAGTGGTTGAGCTTCTAGCGATGTACAGCTTTGCTTGAGCGAAACCTTTGCTGCGTGTAGTTCAAGGAAACTCGAGAAAGATTCGTTGGCAAGCGTAGCTTACGGCAGTACCCCGACGCTTACAAGCGCACAACGCACAACGCCATAATTGCACCGCGGCCGCGCCTTACCTGCCCAGCTTGTCCACGGGCACGCACAGGTTAGCCTTGATATACTTGACGGCCTCCTTCAGGGCTAGCCGGTAGCCGGCCATCACCGTGGTAGGGTGGATGTTGTTCTTGATGAGCTCGTTGGCCCTCTTCAACAGCTCCGCCGCCACGATCACCACGGACGTCGTGCCGTCACCCACCTTTCGAGAGAGGAGAGTGAGAGAGAGAGAGAGAGAGAGAGAGAGAGAGAGAGAGTTCGGCAACGGAAAGGTGGTTTGTCGTGGCAACATTTCGGTTGTGAGATCAATGCTATTCGAAACCATCCTTACATATTTACCATCCCAATGTTAGGCCTTTCTGCTCCAACAAAAGCATCTACTAGGCGTCGTGAGATAGCCTGCATGACGAGCGATTCCCCCGAAAAAAACTGAGACGATGAAACGATGTATCGCTGGGGGAAATATTGAAGTTAATGTCGGCAGCCGCACATTCGCTTCGCAAAGGTGTAGTAAGTGAAACGCTGACACCAGATCGACATACCACTGCTATCTTTGTTGGTGAACAAATCACTAAATAGGTTGGTTTCTAGTGGGGAATCGGATTTAATCTAGAATTACCTCCTGGTCTTGCAGATCTGCCAGCTCGACGAGCACCTTGGCAGCGGGGTGCTCGACGTCAAGCTGCTTGAGGATGGTCGCCCCGTCGTTGGTGATGGTCACGTCTCCCACCTGCACCAAGCATCGAACAGCATCAAGGTTGCCAACAGGCCACCAGGGTGGTTGCTATTACGCCATCATGAAAGCGCCTAGGAAACGTTACACGCGTCGTGGGTCCACAGTGCAACTCACCGTTGGGTGGTTGCGATTCCGTTTGTGCGGATCTATGTGTCAATGCTGGATACATGTATCCAATCCCAAGTGTGGGTGGTATCTTCCGTGTGAGAAAAGGGTGCGGGGATTCCCTCAACATTTTTCTTTGTTCGCTTCTCTGGCAACGTCTACACGGGCCGTGCATCGCAGAAATGAAGCCAATTTGTCCACTGCCGATATGGCTGTCATGGCGATATGACTGCCACAATGACTATACTGTAACACCATTCTCCCCCCCCCTGGTGTTTGCCATCGGGGATGGGTTTTCGTCGCTTGGCAACGACGTTGTAAAACAAGCCAGCCCCTCGGTGTTTGCCATCGGGATTGGGTTTTCGTCGCTTGGCAATGACGTTGTAAAACAAGCCAGTTCACTTCGTGAACTCGGCAACCAGGATACCGTTTTTTTTTTTACCTCTTTTTTTTTTGGCGGTAACCATAATGGTGGTCGAGTAGATCATGTTGTGCGGGGTCGAGAACCCTCACTCCGCGCAAGGGGGATGATCGCACCACGTTGTGTTCAAATGGCCAAGCACCCTCGAGGCAGTTACACAGTGCTTACAACTGTCTCTGGAAGTGAAGTACCAGAAAATACATTAAGCGATACGCAGCTGTCATCCGTACGCAAGGAAGTAAGCACAAGATGCCGAACACCCTTACCAGGGTGCAGCGCACCCTTCATGCGACTCGCCGAATACCTCACGGCGCGTCGCGCTTGGTGATGTGAGAGCCTGGTCCGGTGAGAACCCGGCGTGCTCCGTCCCGGCTTTGTAGGGATGCGCGGTCAATGGTCTAACCGCTTAAGGCATGCAAAACATAAGAGTACGTCCCCCCCCCCCCCTCCTTCCAGCTCCGTGCCGGGGGACAAGAGGGAACACCTAATAAAACACTTGCCTCATCCACGAGCATCTTGTCCAAACCAACCGGGCCAAGCGAGGACTTGACGATGTTCGCGATCGCTGTTGCCGCGGTTACGTTTTGTGTTCGGACGTCCTGATGCACCAAAAGAGAAGCATAAGGTCATCGTCGGCATCGAGAAAAGGCAAAAGTGCTCACGCACGGTCTGCTGCTCTGTACCACGACTCTACTTTTGGAGAGGAAGAAGCTCCGGGAACCTGCCGGGAACGGCGGATGGTGCGAAAATTGATTTTGCGACACAGCAAGCCAAGCCTTCTGGCAGAGTCTTGATGAGTATCCACTCCAAACATTTGCAGGGATCACGTAAGCAACCGCTGAGCAGCAGCAACACGTCACCTATCGTCACCTCCATAGGTGCGCTCGTTGTCCAGCAGAGGGAGAGAAGGGTGAGGGATCAGCGGCCTCACAGCCTTTTCCACCAGCACACCCGTTGTCTGCCAGCTGTAGCCTTCCACTGGAAGAATACGAACCAAAGGTCAACCTTCTGAGCACCAAGGTATCTCTGCCAATCACCATACGTCTCTTACAGAGTACCAACTACCACGATGGACTATTCGCTTGCATCGAGTTGGGGCCTCAGGCATTTGCATCTCGTCCTTGGCTATACTGCCGCGTATCCCTGCCGCGGATCTGGTTTTGATTTTTCGAATGGGTTTGGCGGCTCACCTGACCCATGGTCCGATCTCCCATCAATGCAAGCCCCGACATCTTGCAGCGGCTGATCTAGACGGACTAAGCGATGTCCGATAGATGCAACGTTCTCTCAGCCTCCCTCTCCTCCTTGTGGTCGGCACAGTTCAGGTGTTACCAACGAGCATCACACCAGACGCGTGCCCGTGTCCGAGGTACCCCCCCTCCCCATCAAAGTGGCATTTACTGCATCCATCCCGAGCACATGTACGAAGAAATAACGTACCCCCGAGCCCCCGAGGGCTGAAGAAAGCGGCGCGATTCAACATATACCATTGACCATTGCGATTCAGTTTGGTTTGGCGGAAAATTGTTTAGCGCGGTTTGCTGAGCGTTGTTCTCCCTGCACCCATCCTCTCTCTCCGCCCGGGCTTCCCGTCCTGTTGTTTCGACGCCACAAAGCATCGCCCAGCAAGATGTTTGGACTCACACAAGTCGCTCGGCGTCCTGCTGTTGCTCTCGGTGAGTGGTAGGGTAAGATCTTCGCACCCCAAGCATGGAACATGGAACCAACCGACTGCCAGACTGACCCGGGCGATATGCACACGATCACCCTTTTTCCAACAGCTGCTTTACCCTCGAGTACAACACCCCCACAGACCTTGGCCACCTGAACACAAAGGCCGCAGTGAAGGTTTTTAGCCTATTGTCGCGACGGTGGAGGCTGATAGCATGTCTCGTTGTGATTTATCACCAATCGCGATGTCCTCCGAAGGGTAGGCCATTCGCGGACGGATGTTACTCGTGCAGTTGAAGGTTGAGGTTGGTGAGCCGGTGGGTAACATAGCACGGTAGCACTTACGGTGTGGGTTTGCACGCACGTCGACTGAGTTGCTACATCCCTTTGGGGCGATATCCGTCCTTACTTTGAACTTCATCGACGTGTGCTTCCTACGCCTAAATCGACCTTTCTCCGGCTCGACGCATGTAGTCTACGTATTAACCCACCACACAAATATGCCCACCTCTGGCGGGGCACGTGTGCATCGACTGCAGCATGCGTGGACGTTCAACAACGAAGCGATCATGGTGTGAATGTGTAGATTAAATCTGTGCTGAGCACTGAGCGGCGTTGTAACAAGTCTTGCAGCTCGCGAGGATCACGTGCAAATATGCAAGTGTGGTTGTACAATAGTGCGGCATGCAATCGCATAATCGCAAAAGGTCCGCGAATCCTGAATCTGCCTCGCTGTCGGGACAAGTGTATGTAGATGCCAACATGTGTGCGGCCGTTCCTGCTTTCGCTCTGTTCTCCTCAGCCGTCGCCGGGGGTGCAAGTGCGTGCATGCTGCGCAACACTTACCTTGACAAGAGCGAGCAAGAGCAGGGGGCTCTTTGCCAGGCACCAAATGCCCCGCAGTCCGGGATGAAGGTACCTACAACAGAGATACGAGCTACTATAAGTTTTGTGATCACTGCTGCCTTCGGCTCGGCAGACATCATACCACCTTTTTTCCCTTGCAATATTTGAAGCTGTGGGATGTGTGTCGAATCCACGTACTTTGTTCTATCCCCGCCCCAATCTTCACCGCTGCCAGTTAGCTGGTTCTCTGTACACAGGATAGTGCTAGGTTGCTGTGAAGGCGTACACCAATCCAACGGCATGAGATTGTCAAGTCACGCCAAGCACCTCAAAGATGGTTCCGATGTTCGTAATTTTGCATGAGGTTCTCCAAAGAGCAGCAGCTGTGGTGAAAGCTATACTGGACTGGTACGCTTACGGCCCAAGGGCTCATGTTAATTCACCGATCGTGGATGACTCTGTCAAAACTTCCTCGTGCCAGGGAGTGGCCCAAAGGCTCGGGGCGTACGTGCAGAACATTGAAGATCCAGACAAGATAACCCTACGTGCTAATAAACTCGGTGTCAAGGTAAGGCGGCATTCTACAGCACAGGTGTTGCCTAACACAGAGAGAAACCACAAGCCTATGGCGGGCGTCCGTTAGGGATGCAGATTTCCTACTACTGCGGGGCGTTGGTTTTGCAATGTATCTTTTTACCCACGAACCTCTTAGCAGATCGACACGATGACTGCCGTCAGTCCAATTCATGTCGATCAGCGCTTACGACGGAAGGATATTCCGTTCTACAAGGACGGTGGACGCGGGGGGCTACCGCCCCCCTCGTCCCCCGTTTGAGAGTTGATGCGCATACGAAACGAAAGGTATAACCTATTTATGTGATGAGGTAAGCTAGCAGTTTTTACAATTTTTGAACACATACCAAATGGGACGGGTGTTCGTTACAGCAAGAGAACGATAGACGCAGGTTCGAAGTCAAGAGAAGCGTGCGTCATCATGCTCTCCGTATACACTTAGACTACCGGCTTCTCTGAAACAAAATCACAGTTGTTGAACAAAGGTTGAAGCTTGTGGCGCACACCCTGCTGCATGTGTGTGCACCTGTCTGTGTGTGTGTGCAAGTGTGGCTTGTATGGTCCGTCCGGGACATTATTCCATTCGCGTTTTGTGCGATAACTTTTATAATAAAAATAGTTGAAACATGATACAAGGATATTCGTGATCGCCTCGTCGACCTACGTCGATAGCTGCAGAGTTATTCTAATATTGAGAAAATGCGACATTCTTGGCCAAAATAATCTACGGAACCCCCTAACCATTCCACGGAATCCCCTAATCATACCACGGAAACTCTCAGGGCTTTCAAGCTCTGCACCAATTGTAACTACTCTATGTATACTCGTATGCATACGATACGCGTATAAAACACCACATTTGTACAAACATTACACCCACGTGCATATTAACATTCTAACACACACCGGTGGGAGCGACCGCAACCCAACACCAACGTTCAATAATCGCCGCGCCAGTCCTTGTCACGGGCGTTATCGTCCTCGACAACATCCATGGGAGAAACATCGGATTGATGGCCAGAACCGACGAGTTCTACTTGTTGTATTGTGCTGCTGGTACTGCTGCCTGAGCACGTGGCGCGATGCTTCCATCCGCCCTCCACGCCCTCTTTGTAGCTTTCTTCTTGGGTCGCCCCATGTGTGGGGCTTGTATGTGGCCGTTTGGCTACTTGTGCGCTGCTTTGTTGAGTGGTGGATGTGTGTGGGTGTGTGTGCGTGCGAGAGCTGTTCGTCTCTCACAGCGGCAAGCACATCACATGACAGAATAGCTCATGAAATTTAGTTTTCCTGAAAAATCCAAAAGATGAGCCATCCGCGGAATTCGGAGAGGAATCGTTTGCCGCACTCAAATTTTATATCGTGAAGTTGGTCCTCGCTCAAGATCTTGAACGAAATGCCCTTCCAGAATCGGTTTATGGGGCATCGTCGTTTCTTGATATTTTCAAAATTGGAAACAAGAGCCATCTGGCAAATTCCAAAAGCTGTCGAAATATGGTCTCAGATTTTTCCTCTGAAAAGTAGACCCAGCAGAGCTTGAACATTTTTTTCTGGTTATGTCGAAATTAAAAGGTCAATGAATAAAAATAATAAAAAAATCGAACGTTAAATTTCTGCGCCTGGAGTCAGGGCTTTTTACGGTGTTTTTGAAATGGGGTTTAACCACCCCTACCCCGAGAAAAGTGCACCTAAGTACAGGGCGGCAAAGTGGATTGGAAGCCCCAACCGGACCATACCATACAGCTATTTTAGCCGTGAGACTACAGCAACATACAGCAGTCATCGTTTTGCACACATGCACACATACCCCGTGTCGTCCTCCCGACTACAGCAGAGAGATCCAGTACACAGAACGGATGAGAGACATGAGCAAAATGCATGTGACATGTGTTCCGAGTTCCGAGAGTCAGTTGCCGTCTTCCGTCTTCTCATTTATTCCCGGAAGAAGTTTTCGCTGATGCTATGGATTCATTGCCTATCTATCTTAGGCTCTTTTCTTCGATAGAGATGGATTCGTTGGGTAATATTGATGAAATAAAACAAGAACAATGATTCTCGGAATATCCTGCAAGTTGCCGTTCCTTTGACATTTTTGGGAGAGATGAAATGCTTGCCCGCGCGGTCACACGCACATATTGCAAGTTAGCAGTGTTGCACCTCAGTCCCTAGCACACGATGGGCACATGATGGATGGTCCATAAAGCGCTTACGTGTAGTCCGTCCTGTTAAATTTTCCCGCAAGGTGACCCCCACTTTATCTCGCTGGGTTTTGAGAGTTAACACGCGAAAAAAAGTGGACAAGAACCGCAAGGTCGAGAAGCATTGAAATCCGGTGTAAAAAAAAAATCGGTGAAAATGGCCGTTTTGGGGCGAAAATTACCCAAAAATTACCCCGAAACGGCACGTTGTTACCCCGAAACATTACCCCGCAACGCCTTCCAACGCATGGCAGGTCGTATACGAGTGAGAGGTTGTCTCTTATGTTCATTATCCGAGTTCGTTTTCCTCTCCCTGAAAGCACCCTTGCCCCCCAAACCAGCTCGACAACGCCACGAACAACAACATTTTATTCCAAAATCACCTCCGACCCCCCCCGCCTCGCTCTAGTCTCGTTATCAAACTAAACGATGCAAATATATTCTTATCACCTAGTCTTAGGATTATGTACATACACTATCGCTGCGGATGGCGCTGCCGCTCAAGTCAGGTGGCTGCGAGTTTTGCCGCTGTGAACCTCAACATCTTATCGGCATCCTCGTTAGACTTTTTCCTGGCCTCCTTGGCCACGGCAAGGGCGGCCTGCTCCTTGGCCTTACGCTCCTCCGGGTTTGTCGCTTGGCCACGAGCCAGCAACACGTTGTCGGCCGTGTCGGTGGGCGAGCGGTGGCTCGTCCACTTCTTGAGGTCCCGGGTTTGCAAGTAGCCCTCAAGCCCATGGCTGTAGGCATAGATGTGCAGCCAGGACACGCGGGCCCACGTCCGGCAGAGTGACAAAGAGACAGTGCTCAGAGTCACGGGAAGCCTTGCAAGCAGACTCAGGACGGAGTAGGCGGAGACGCGGCCCGAGCTGCCCGAGCTGCAGCTGCCATGATCACTGTCACTGCTGTGCCGGCTGCTGCTGCTGCTGCTGTGGTCGTCTTCGCCTCCTTCACAACATGTATGCATGTGTCGTTGTCACGTTGTGGTGGATTGTCCGCAGCGAGTGGTGGGGGAGGGTCCGCTTTTTTCCCGCCGAACCGGTCAGCTGCTCGTGTTTGAAAGCTGCCAGCCTTCTTTTTGGGACCGGGAGGACGCCCGCGCATAGGCATCTTCAAGTATAGGCCTGGGTGGGCCCTCGGTGGGGTCTATGGGACTGCTGTGTGGTGTGCTGTATGGTGTGTCGGGTGATGTGTGTGGTGTGAAATCTCCTTCAGTTTTTTTTTTTTCGAAAAAAACAAAAAACGGTCCTGGGTGCAGGTCCAATTCGCCCGAATCCGTGGAGTTTTTCGAAATCTATCGGTGCGTTTCTCTCCAAAAAACATAACTCTGAGGCCACCTGGAATGAGGTTTTTTGCCCGTTTCTCCCTGATATCTCAGCGAAAAACAAGTTGAGTTGGGTGTGCCCCTCGACGTGATACGCTCAAACCGGTCTTAGAAAAGAAATTGGACCTCACACTCGAGCAAGTGTAACGTAACAAAATCTGGCAATACCCCGAAGAGAGATCTGTCCAGTAAGATCGCTTGTTCTTTACAGTCCCGAGCGGAGGGGTCGGAGGTGGAGACGCAGGTGCAACGACGTGGTTTTGACCCGTCCCGCCGGCGCGGGCAGCTCGCCCGTCGCTGGATGCCCGGAGCCCCGAGCGGCGGTGTCTCGCTGAGAGAGGGTGTCCCGCGGGCTCCGCGGAGAGAGAGGGCGAGCCGTTACCCCTGCGTCGCTGGCCACGATTCGACGCTATCGTGTCGACTTGAGAGTAGGCGCAATCCCGCCGCTTCTCTCGGAGGGGCCGCTGCAAGGCCTGCGGTGCGCCCTCAGCCTGAGCTAAAATTCCTCACCTCTATGCGAGCTGACCCCCCTCCGGGTAATCGAGTGGGGATGTGAACCAAGGTTCGCCTAGAATACGATGAATTGTTGTGCGCCTTGCAAATCTTTCTGAAACGGCAGGTGTACGATGTAGTGGATCAAGCAGCGCACAAGGCCGCTGGCGGCCTGCCCGTGGTTCGCGTTGCGCAAGCGTTGATCAAAGCTCCTGTCGACGACGTGGCCCTGTGCTGGTGGCAGGCAGGCAGGCGGAAGGTCGGTGTTTATTGTACGTTCAACACAGTCCGTTTTGTGGAATGGACCCTGCTGATTTGCGGGGATGCCATGTTAGTTCTGGGTCAGACAATTGGATCCGTATTTGACAGGCTGAACAATCGACACAGCAGTGGGTAGCTTTTCTGAGGTTACAACAGTTTTTTGCAGTGTGGTGACGTTTTTCCGGCGTGTGCAGCTACAGCCTGATCCATTGACATTGCGACCACCCTGTACCTGCTGCTGTCGACACGTCCCTCCAGGAATGGGACTCAGTCAACACGTCAGACTCGCAACTTGTGCGCTCATTGGCCCCTGACGCCAGGCTGGTGTATATGCAGGGAAAGCCGAAGAGGGGGGGCATGATTTCTTCGAGGGACTTTTGCTACGTCTCGCACAAGTGAGAGATTTGTCCGCACGACAATGCTACCTGTGATTCCGGAGGTTGTAGTGGTCTCCGACACATTCCGTCTGCAACAGCAATGACTCTTTCAAGAAACGCTGAAGTGTCTCGTGGGTTTGGAATCTATTTGTTATTGTCTTGTTCTTTCCCGTCTGGGCTTTGAATTTTTCTCGTTGCTGGGTTTCAGCTTTTTCTTGTTGCTGCTGTTGTTGTTGATGTGAGGTTCACGAGATCTGATGTACACCTTCTTTTTCCCCCCTACGCTCACAGCTGTTGAGATACATGTTGTCCGTGCATTCACCCATACCCACCTTGCACAATTTCCGAAATACTCCGAGATTCCAAGTTCCTCCGCAGAGTCCTGCTTTTCAGGAGGGAGATACCGCTTGTGCTGATGCACTGAGGGCAAACGGGAACGCTTCCGGCAGTTGAGTAGACAAGGGTTGCCATCGACGATGGCTTGCAGCAACAATAGCTCTCGGTTCACGCGATGTGTCATGAGCGCAGCACCACGCGTGTCTCCCTCGTTGTTTTTTTCACTTGACCTACAGGGCACCTCTGGAGCTGGTCGGGGCGAAGCCCGGGAGCACGCTTTTTGTGCAGGTGGGCTCCCGCTTCCATCTGAAAAAGTGGCTTGTTTGCGACGTTGACCCTGGACGAGAAACCCAGCTTTATGGTGCTACGATGTTGCGCTCCAGCGTGGGAAGCGGCTCTTTTAATATGGACGGTGGTCCGTCTTCGTTGGCTTGATCAATGGTCGAAGCACGGAGACATTGGTTCTGCGGAGGCAAGCTGTCAGACTGTGTCTTGGCCAGTGTCGAAGTTACACAAAATGCCAATAGCTGTCCCTGGTAGTGGTGACGCCACAAATACACTCAAGCCATTCAAAGAAGCCGTGGAGCTAAAACCCCGTCCGGCTGTGCCTAAACGTGGTCTTGCAAGCGATTCTTGGTATGCAGCTCACCCTAAGTAGTGAGACTTAACCGCACACGCCACCGCGGCCCTTGGTGTTGTGCTTCTGGCTAGTCGGCTGAGAGCCGACTTCTTCTATCCTAGCCTTGTAGGAAATTCGCGGGGCCCTAGTCTCATGCCCATGGCGATGGATACACGAAGCACCGGTGCCGTGCTAGGCTTGATTTTGCTTTTGCCTTTGGCGAGTGAGAGGGTTGGGACCGGGAGCGGACGAGATACTCTGTTCTGCCTCTACTCTCACAACCATTGCAACCCTTCATGCTTTCCCCAACATTGGTTAGGCCAACGCTGCGAATGAGGTACCTCTGAACAACGCCAGCACTCGGGGAGATGTCAACTCGGTCTTGCTGCTGGTGCCTGTCGACCCTATCACCACGCGGGTAAGGACTTGAGGGGTTAGTTTGTGTGTTGGTATTGCCTTATGCTGTCGCTTAGGTGCACCTAGTGATCCTGCTGCAGCGTAGACTGTTGTGGCAGAATGGCAGATGATCCTTCTTGGCAAGAGGTGGGACCAATCTTTCTAAATTTTTTCGCACTACGTATGTCCGTCTTTTTGTCTTGTAGGCGTTTAATTTTTTCGCACAAGATATCCTAGCAAGATAGCGGGGTTATCCGATGTGTTTGTGGGGGGCACTATTGACTCCTGCTACCGCTGTTCCTCGATGTCCGTCATGCGAGTGTTGAGCCGTCCTTTCCACATTATGCTCGGTGGTCAACGCTGTGTGTTCGCAGGCGTACTATGCGATCGAGATGGATGTTAAGGGGTGGCTTCCAGTCAAGGTGCGTCGCGGAGGAGAGTGTCGTCATGCGTAACCGTCGCTTGACAGAGTGGTTCCTTGCAGCCCCTGACATATCCACTCGCAGGTGCATTTTTTTTCATCTAGTAATTCCTGGATGCGACCGTCTGTTTCCTTTCCAGTTCTGTGGCGCCTTGACTTAGGGTTATGCCCCAATTTTCGTGTGCGTGATGTGTCATTCTCGACAAACAAATATCTCCCTCCCGCGTCTGCCCGTTTTGGCGGTGTATGCCGATGACAATGCTTGATATCGGCGAAAGAGGAAATCCCGGACGGAGGTGAAAACGTGTTGTGAACGTAAGTCAGCGAGAAGATACCAGCAATATCAGCAGCAACAGTAACAACAGCACATACCATGTGCCCTTCTGCTGCAGGTGGTCAAGGCCGCCGCGGATGAAATCCCTCTGACCCTAGCCGTCCTCCGGGACCACATCGAGAAAGAGCTCAGCGAAGAGGCCTCCCTGAGTCCCGAAGCTGCCGCTAAGGTACGCTGATTCGACCCGCCGGCCGACCGACCGACCGATCGGCGTGGTCATCTCAAGGATCCAACGAGGTAGCGCAAGTCGGTTTCAGGCCGGCGGTCAGGCGAGAAGAATGTGTTTGGCGCTGTTGCACAGAGAGCGGCTGCGATAGTGCGCCGCGACTAGCACTGATCAAGCTGCTTGAGCCCTCACATACTATGACGGGAAGGCTTCGGAGATATTTCGCTTTCATAAGCGCGCTTGCAGTTCACAGTATCGGCGGAGGGTAGTGGAGGTGCAGAACTACCCCCTTCGTTTTTTTTGCCGCGGAAAATCACCGGGAATTTATTCGCTGGCTTCTCCGTAGATGCGACACGATTTTACGAGGCTGGAATTACACTTTGGTTCGATGGTTCTGTGATAGTGTGATGTGGGATGTGCGGCACGTCGCTGCGGATGTAATTCATGATGCTGCCTTTGGGTCAACCGCGTTTTTGCCTTTGTCCGCGGTTGACACTCGCGCTTTTGCGTACATGCAACTCTCGCGGCATCTACGCTGGCATTGTGGATTTGGCGGCTACCCGTTCGATAGGCGGTTTGTTGATCCAGATTCTCATGTTTTTCTCGTTTTTGTACAACATGTCATATTCCACGTATGCGTAGACTGCTGGTATCTCTTAGGCCTGTTATCGCGTGCTGACACGAGTGTGCAGCAGAGCTCAGTAACACCAACCTTGCTGAAAAGCAAACACGCGGTGGATGTAGGCAGCAGTGCTTGGTCTTGCTGCGGTTGGCCTGGCGTTCTGGTCCTGATGCGCATTCCCGCCCGTGCGCCGAGTATGACTCATTGACACCCCTGCACAAAGCCGTACTGCACTTGCGCGTGGCATGGGTTTGTTTTTCAGCACTCGTGCGTTGTGGTGTTGTGATACACCGGGAGTGTTTTGGCTTGTGGAGACGGCTGCGACTGAACGACTATTTTGAGCTTCGTCAGCCAAGGAACTGATTTCGCCAACCATTTTGTATTAATCCCGTGTGAGCTTGTATTGTACTTCAGCAAAAAGCAGAACAAATACACATTTCGTTCTTTGTTTCGTCACAACGCTGCTACAACTGCCTCTGGACGAGTGCGGTGAACATTTTCGAAAAGTCGAAACCAAGGCGACGTACCGCTAGCCCGTTGCAACATATGGTGACACAAAGCGTGAGAGTGAACGCTATTTTGGTGGCGCTCCTCCTTTCCGTTTGCTTTGGTCCACTTTCAACGGATCCGAAACAAGTGTGCTTGTGCACGCCAACCTCGATGTCTGCGGCAGAAACACCGGTTGCGCAAACCGTCGTCACCCGCAAAAGGGTCAGCTCTTCGAATTGCACCCCAAACGGTTATACCCCTTTTCTCCACGTGTGTCTGCAACATGATAACAGTGCCAGTTTCGCCGGGCCACGGTGGGTCTGTTAGTGGTTGTTTGTTGTTTGGTGTGCCTTGTGCTGGCCTTTTTACCTCTCCCTTCCGCGCGCGCAGCACGCCGTCCATAGAAGGGAGGACAGTGAGGGAAAGTCTGGCGGCGAGTCAATCGCGGGCGCCTGGGCAACAAGGGAGGACTTACTCGAGACGAAGAAGGTCAGTTCACACCTATTACTATTGCAGTATGTCAGTATCTGGCTGTGTCGTGCTGCACGCGTCGTGCCGCTTGCCAGCACCAGGTCCGACAGAGGTTGTATAGTGGTAAGGCATTGAGTGACCCTGCGCTGTAACTTGGCAGTATGCCGCAGCTGCGTTGGAGAAGAGGGTGCTACGTGCGATGCCGCGGTTATACCTGGCCCTGAGTCGTTGCTCCTGATTTGGATACCTGTTAGTGTCAAAACGTTGTACATACGTGTTTCATTAATCCTCTTGACGTTAGTGCCAGAGTTAAGGTGAGCACTGCTGTTGCAGTGGACGGTATGCCATCTCGCCGCAAGGTGTGTTGTGTGCTCATTGCCTTGGCCTTGCTGTCGCGTAGCTTCTCGTTGGAAACAAGCTTATGTCCCGCTGTGCCCGTCGCTCTCGCTCGCAACTGGTTTGTCCGCCAGCTGCTTGAAAAACAGCTAAAAAAGGTGTCCGCTGATGAACGCAAGATGGGAATAGATCTCTCGGAACTGCGAAAGCACATCAAGGAGGAGATCGCTGAGGTAGACAGGAGACTGTAGTCGTGGTCTCTCATGTAAAGGTTGTGCCGACGCCGCCGTATCCCTGTAGCACTAGACTTGACCCATCTGCAGGAGAGTATGCCACGGGGTACCAAGAAGGCGGGGTATGTGGGCAATTCCGTCCGGGGACTTGCTCGTAGGCAGGGGCATCACACTGTATTCCATGCTACCACACCGTATGCGGAAATGCCTTTCGTGGTTGGCTGCTGGAGGAAAAGCGCGCGTGCGAGCACGTTTCCTGTCGTATTCGACGAGCTCGTGACACTAACCGCCAGGGTATGGAGCACGGGCGCTCTTTGCCTCAACAGGGATGTTTCGATGAAAAGGTGTTGGTCTCTCAGATATGTCATTGCTCGAAAAATGGAATCCATCATCTGCATCGGGCACGGGCACGGCTCCATTCGATTTCAAACCTGAAATCCTCGAAGTTCGTCGCTGGAACTTTTTCAAAGGTTGTGCTGTCAGGCTGCAATCTTCTCGTGTATGTAGAGATTGGCAGACCCCCACGAAGTATTTATCTGTTCCACGGCTAGCAAACCCCACTTGTCATCGTTCACTGCCGCGAGCGAGACCGATAAAGCGATTGCGCCGACCTGGGGCACAACGTCGGAGCCGCGCGTGAAGTAGAGCAACGGGTTTGCCTCTCGTGCATTGACGCAGGAAAGCGTACCGTCCAAAGAGGCCTAGCGCAGGAAAGCATAAAAGAAGACGAGCGAGCACATTCTGTGCTGTATTGACCTCCCGGACATGTTGGCCCATCTTGGCTTCGTCGAGAGAGGCTGCAAGTTTAGCTGTCCTTCTGCACCTCAGGCGACTCGATCTTGCCAACAACAGTACACATCCTTATCACGAACTCATATCGAGAAGTTATATTTCCGACCGAACTACGACGTCGAAGCGTACGCTCTGCACAGAGGATCGCCGGACAGGAGCCCGTTGACTTTTTGACGGTGCGTACCTTCATGCCATCGGCCTTTGTTTTTATCTCGATTATATCCTTCGCCGAAAAGTTGGTGTGCACGAAAAGGAGAGTAGCTTCTGCCACCCAGCCTTTTTGGTTCATAGCGTCGGCGTTAATGAAATCCACCCGAATTTTTGCTTTGACGCTATTTAGCTTGAGTACCTGAAGAAGCGGATCGCGGTCAAGGCCCAGCCATCATGACTCCGACATTGATTTACGTTCAATAAACAACGATTTGTACTATCGATCGGATTGGTACTACAGTACTTCGTAGATCCTCCGCGTGAAGCCGCCCCAGTACGCGTGCGTTCGTCTGCTTACCTCCTCCTTTCTCCATCTCTCTAGCGTGGGCCTCGCTGCTGCTCGCAAATCCTCGAGACACTCAACCCCGTAGCAAGACTTTTTTCGTTGAAAGCAAATGTGAGAAAACGAGGTAATGGGCTGATCAGAGCATTTGGACCAGTCTTTGTTGCATTCGCACAGATTGGGATTAGCTTCGGTCCGGAGACCACGAGCTGGTGGGCGGTAAATCAAAACAACACCTACGTGTCAACGATCGAGGGCGCGCCAATCGCATCTGAACGGTAAAATGGCCGTCTGTTGTGAGGGCTGAGAACTAGGCTATAATCAATACCACGATACAGGGTCCTGCTGGTGTGGTGGGCATACTCACCTCCCAATTATGCATCATCGCTGCAGCGATCACGCATTTCCCAACACCGGAGCCAAGGTCCCAAAAACTTCCGCCTGCAGACATCATGTTTCCGTGAATTCGCTTCAATTTCACCATCACCTGGTCCAGAAGACAATGACAGCAGTGTCATTCCAAGCAGAACAGCGGAGCTTCGCACAAGACCCCTGGAGTATCGGCACCATAGCAGCCAAAGCGCGTGCACGCGATGTCCACAACTCAGTGATTCTTACTACTTTCGTTCCAGCACATTGCTGTCTGCTCGTAGCTAAGCGGTTTTGCTCGGGAACGGCATCTACCCATACGAGAGCCGCTCTCCACGTTTTGCAGTCGGGCAGGTAAAGCACAACCAGGCGCTTGTTGCAAGACTTAGCCCAATGTCTATTCGCTGAAGGCTGACCATTTGACTACGTGCACAGGCATCGATGGCTTTGCATGTTGTCAAATGGTCAGCCTTTATCGAATGAAGGATTCTCGCTCGGGTTCGAATCCCAGTGGATCATATGCGTACCGTGCACACCTCACAGTTGGTCGCGGAATGCATTGGGCTGTGAAGCAATACACCCTATCAGATCCACTGGGATTGGTTACGAGCAGAGAGTGTATCTTTTAATCGATATTGGCTGACCATTTGACTACACGCAAAGTCATCGATGACTGTGCATGTAGTCAAATGGTCAGCCTATATCAAATAATGCCTACCGTGCACACCTCACAGTTGGTTGCGGAATGTTTTGGGCTGTGAAGCAAAAATGCCTACGTATTGACCATCCGTACCTGTTCTGAACGTGTTCAACGTTGTTTCGAAAAATGATATTCTACACGTGCAAAGGTGTTACCTTCAAAAAATGAGATATGTCAATTTCTCCGTATGCGACGGAGTCCTGCATCAGGTTAGCATTGATCCGGTTCTGCTGCGAAATCTCCTTCACCGTCTGCACCGGAAGGTGCTCATATAGCATGTCAACCATCTTTTTGGCCTCACGCATATCTTCGACGGCTTCTTCCGTTTCAATAATCGCAGCACCGGCTCGGTCATGAACCCTCCGCATGAAGGAGAATACCTCATACTTCGAGAGAGCCTTGTACTTATATACTGATGCTCCTCCTTCTGTCCTTGCCGCAGGGTGGTCTGCAACGTCCTCATCGGACTCCGTCTCAGTGTCGGCTTCGTTTGCTTCGTCCGCTTTGACCTCTCCGACCGCTTGGGCCTCTCCCGTTCTATTTCGGTCTGAACCGGCGACCGCAGCGGCGACCGTCTTCTGCTTTCCGAATAAGGTCCTACCCAACGCTCCTTTCTTCTTCTCTGCAGACTTTTGACCTCGCGCCAGAGCTCGGTCCTTTTCGGCTTGAGTCTTCTCGGCCACCCAGCACTGTGGGATGCAGAGACCTTCCTTGGCAAATATGTCCTTCATGGGCTGGGCGGAGATTTTCTTATTCCTCATAGCGCGATTCAACTTTTGGGTGATGAGTTCCCAGCGCTCCGGCGTCTGGGTGGGGTGTGTCTGGGCGAGTCGGCATAGGACGTCTTCCACTCCCTCGAATGCATCGGGAGTTTCTTCGCTCTGCGCCCCCTTGCCCTTCGTTGTGATCAAGGAGCATGAACGTATGCGGTAAAAGCGCCGTTCACGGAACGAGGCAGGTTGTGTTGTCATCTCCATTCACTTCCAATCTTGTGTACAGCCGCAGCCATTACAGAATGTCAGCAACATAAACGGCGAGCTACAACAGGTTCGTGCGCCGTTGTAGCGTGTTTGCGGCAGACACTACAGTATGCATCGAACACTACACTATTGCGCGGTGCAGGAAATTTGGGGGCGCGGTCCCAGCCGGTGGATGATGGGGGATCGCATCACAGAAACGATGATGGTAATAATATGGTTACGTGAAGACTAGTCTACACTACTATGAAGTAGTCTACTACAGATGGGAAACCATGTTAGACTGCTGTAGTCTATGTGATGGAAGCACAGGGTTTCTAACCTGAGCTCGGCTTTTTGGTGCTTACAACTGCACCCTTGCAAGAGTGCGAATGGAAGGGTGCGAATGTACTGCTGCTGCATACAGTACGGGCCCGGAGATAAGAAATGTCGAAATCGGGTCGAGGCTCAATCCATTTCTTTGCGTTGAAAGACCAGCCGAAGACGTCCATTTTCTCAAAAAGGCATTTCTTTCCTTGGACTGTCGCATCCTCCTGATTCTGTTGTTTCTCGTTTTCTTTGATTTCTGGCTAAGAATATGCATACAACAACGCCAAAGATTCATGCAGCAGTGGGTAAAGCAGCCCGCGGAGGCGCCGAGTAGCTAAATAGCGCGGAGGCGGGCGGGGCAGCGCCAACACTCTCCCCCCCTACGAAATAAAACGTTGTCCCGCTAGATACCGGGGGGGTGGGAGCACGGAAAGAGCAACCGTGGAACGTTTCTTATTGGAAATGCTCTCCCAGCAACCCTTGTTTCTTCTGTATTGGGGGTATCGCACGGTCATGTTCTTACTGGGACGTTTCTTATGTTGTGGCCGAGATTTAGCTGTGTTTCTTGGTCATTTTTTCATATTTTTCGTAAAAAGTTTAGCCTTTTTTTCATAGAGGAATTTTTCTTAATGGCGGGCCTGTACTGCTGTATTACTGCTGTACATAATGTAGTGGAGGCTGGTGGCATATCACATCCACGGAAGTCTACCTTTTGTCCTCCGTCAACGTCTCCTGGTGTCCCAACCACGGCCGACCCCTTACTCTTGGCTAACCCGGCTTTCTTATCGCCCTTTTCCCGAACAACGCCTTTCGATTTGCCTTCCGCTCCACGTTTCTTGGCCGAAGCTCCCGCCCCCATTTCAATCTGCAATCCCTATGGACTGCACCACTACACAGTAGAGAGGGTGGAGGCAGCAGGGGCAAGGGAAAGAGACAGGCAGATAGGAGTACCAACGAGCAGAGAGATCACCGCCCGACACAGCAGGCTCGCTAATGGCTGTATCGCGGCGTAACTTCGACCGGTTCGGTATTTCGTAGCCCGTGGACCGTATGCCTCTCTTCGCGCAAGCAACTCCACGGTTTGAATATTGATAGTTCGCGGATACATGCGTGGCGGCGGCCACGAGTGGCAAGGAGGGTATAGATAACTTGATGCATCGTGCCCTTGCTTTGATCGAGTCGGGTGCAGTGCTCTCATCCCTCTACCTGTCGCGAAGTTTGTCGATTGTCCGTCCGACAACCACACCCACCATACCTGACTCACTGCCAAAGCCGAGATCCAGCCGCATTTGCCGCTTACACGCGGGGGGGATATTGCAATCGATGGCGCTCCTTGAGACACCAGACTGGTTTAAAGCTGAGCGTGTGAGATGCCTTACGGATGCTAGCGTACCGCGAGACCAAGGTGAGGCAAGAAACGTACCGCTTAGAGATTCAGGATACTGTGGGATGCAGTTCGTGAGCTAAACGCATTGTTGAAATGTGGTCCCGCCAGGATGGCGGTGCATGTGATAGTTGCTGCGTATGGTATATAAGATTGCCGTGGGTGACATTGTACATCGCACCCTCGGGCCGATTTTCCAAGATCGGCTTCTCCATAGCAGAAAGAGCCGAGGTGCCGTAAACGGTGGTGTTGAAGCCCTCTCATCGAGAGCTTTCCGAAAACGTATCGTTTCATCGATGCATTCGGAGTAAGCTTTGAAAATCGGTCTAGGGGGTGTGGTATCTTGTGTCAACACGGTACGAACACGCACAGGCGAGTACAAATTGTAGAGCCCGGAAACTCGATGTACGTTCCTGGGATTCTTGGACAGGGTCTAGTCGGTGCCTCAGTACGCAATTCGAAGCGCACCATGCGCTTTTGCACCGTGAAATCTATGGAAAAGGTCTGTACATGTACCACACGATGAGAGTCACACCCCGCGGATGATGAGACTCTGTACCCGCCCCGCTTGCGAAAAGGCCAAGCAATGGGAGGTCGCATAGCACCTTAGAGAATTAAATGTCACCAGTGTGTGTAGCATACCACTTTGAACTATATTTGTGCGCGAGGCTTGCGGGGGCATCGTTTTTCATGGCGGCTGCGGCAACCAAGAGCTACGCGAGGCTGCTGTGTCACGTTCTCAACAGCCGGGATCACATCAATTCGTGTCCAAGTTTCTACATTTTTCTTATTTATTTTGCGAGGATCGGATTCCTCGTGGCCACGAGCCACGCTACAGGGTTCTGTAGGTAGTCGTTACACTTGAGCAGGACTATAGGCACAGGTGCAGATGAAGCACCACCACCGATTAGCTCTGTAGAGTGCAACATTGAACAGACTTTTGCCCCCATTTTGGAAGCTACAGTCGACGCGTTTTGATTACATGTCACTTGAGCAGACCCACCCCTGTGAACACATGCGGAACGAAGTAGAGCAGAACCCAAGCTTGCAGATGTGTACTGCTGTTTCCCCGAAGGCCTCAATCCCATTATGCTGAATTCGCCAACGGTACCGGCTGCTGTATTTGGTGATCATGCGTCTTGTCAGGGAACTGCGTGGTCTACTGGATGAGCCGGGATCAGCGGGCCGAGGACAACTGGGCAATGCTATTCGCGAAGCATTTAGCTCAGGAGGTGAGAAAAGTATGCGCGCAAGCCAGCTTAGAGCAGAGGAGGAACGAAGGGGAGCCACCGCGAACGGACATACACCTAGGCGAGGGGTCGGCGAACGCCGGAGGAACAGCCCACAGCACGGACGTCATCCAGACTTTCGCAGCGCTCCGGTAGTGCACCAGATACCATGGAAAGCGAGTATTACGGCGAGCACGACGAAAACTCCGCTGAGTTTGGGCGCACGCCACGACGCAAGTGTGTGTTTTATTCTGAACAAGACGCCTTAGCGAAACATGCGTTTTGCTTTCGTGGTCCTTGAAACGTGACGAAATAGACATTTTGCTCATCGCACTCTCCCATTAGCACCTAGGCACACGGTTCGCTCCTTGCTGCTTCCTTCAATTAGCATTTGCCCTTTGCAGCCCTTTGAAAGTCCACTGATCGCCCTGCATTTCTCCTGGCGACAGGGTGGCGTGCCGCTGGTGGTGGCTTTCGTCCTCGGGGCGTGGCAGGTTCCTGAGCCGAAGGTGTTCATGAACCCTGTGTGTATGTGTTTGTGTGTTGAGGCAGAGTCACACTGGCCTTTAAATATGTCGCACCGCGACGAGAGACGGACTTGGGTACGCCAGGTGGTGGGTCAAAGGAGTGAGCGTCGGGGTGCGCGAGTTGATCGCCAGACGCAACTTGGCGCAGTGAGGAAAGTGTTCCCACTAGTTCCTGGTATCATAGCGCCATAAACACGCACCGAACGTTGAGCGCAGATGCACGAGTGGCCAGTTCATCCACCGCTGAAATGTGTATGAGCCACTCGGGCGCCCCGAACATGTTACGATGTCGTATGCCAACAACCAAGACTTGAACGATAGACGAAGGTTTGACACATGCGAGTTGTTTCTCCTTTAGAACCGCACTATGCCTTGGTTGATTAGTCGACGTAAATGTACGCAGTAGTTGCCGCGTATACCTCTGTGCTCGCACTTGCGCGCGATTGAAATAGTAAGATTTTCAAGAACTGACCGCCGTCCATGCTGAAGCCCTTTTCTGTGCCATTCCTCGAAATATCAAATGGGAGGAGGAGCTCCTGCCGAGTTCTTAGTCGACGAAATGAGGCGAGAGAGGGTCCAAAAAGACGGTGTGGCAAACACTCCAAATCAAACCGCGTCACTATTTTCGTAGAAACTGGCAAGTCAGACTTTTCCGTTTTCAGTATTTGAGGAGGTTGACTGGAATGATTTCGAGCATAAAGCTCATGCTGCTCCACAAGAATACACCCATCGTCACCACCGCTGTTGATGCGCCAACTTGATAACTATTCAAATCCTTTCTTCGAGCACTTTCCTTTTATGACACTATGTCCGGTAGTTTATTCGGCTAGGGTCGTGCGTGTGCATGACCCTTGCATTTTGCGTGGCACGTGACGGAACCGTCTGATAGTCTGGTTGATGCAGACTAGTCCTGCTGGAACCATCTGCAGATTGTTATGATCCCGTCTTTCGCTGCTCATTTTCTGTGGTCGGATTGCACGCCGACCGAATCCGCTGAGTTCTCGCTGTACTCGTCGTCTTTCTATCTGCTGTTTTGTTCCAAGGGACCAGCTTCTTCATGTTCGAATCAGGCTAACCGCCTCCGACCACTTTTTTGTTTTTTCAAGCACGAGGCACAAATCCTCTTGCTCTGTTCTTATCCCTCGTATACAGTCAGTCGGCACACCTACATTGCTTGGACAAGGCCGACTCCGATGGCACGGTGATCACGCGATGCTCAATGGTCCATGTCAACTTATCAAACGTCTCCCTCCTCTCTTTTCATGCATCTGCCCTTGTTTCCACGACGTCTCTTTCTCTCGGTCTCTCCTTCTCTCTCTGTGCCCCGGTTTCGCGCTCTCTGTCTGTTGTCCGCTACGGGCTCCCACACCTGCAGACCACGCTTCGGTACGCGGGTTTCATGCTGAAGGGGCTTGCGGAGACGGAGGGGGATCTGCGGGAAAAGAAGATACCCTTCCACCTGCTGCAGGCCGCCGAACCACGAGGTCAGGGTTCCCGAGAGGGAGACATTTATCAAAAAAATTTAAGCCCGTGTGTGCCGACTGTTTGGGG